AAATGTAAATCATGGTGGGAACAAGTGAGAGATTTTTTAAATATTGAATAAAAATATTAATTTTAACTAAAATATTTATCTTTTAAAAGGATAAATATTTTTTCTATATATATATATATATATATATATGAGAAACAATAATCTCCTTGCCGCTGGAGATGTTTCTCCTTTCAAAAATTACGCCAGCATTTTCTTTTTCTTTTTCTTTAAAAAATATCAGAAAAGAATTTCTGCAGTTATTGTAGATAAGTTATCTGCATTTACTTCCAAAACGATGTCGTTTTGGGATGGAAATATTAAAAAATTATAATTATAAAGACTATAATACTCCTGAAATAAATTAAAATTATAAAAATACCATGATTTCCGCCCCAAAACGACGTCGTATTGAGCTTACTGCAAATAACTTATCTACAGTAACTGCAGAAAAAACGAACCCTAAAAATATTGGGCCCCAGAAGACTGTCTCTATTGATATAGAACATTCCTGCAACATAATATTATTATTTCCTTATTTTTTCTCTTTCCACCACGTCAATTGACAACTTTTTAAGGAGAAAAAAAAAATTAATATTATAATTATGTATTACTCTTAGTACATAGTTATATTTTTTTTGTAGAACCAAATTTCTTTCCAACAATGTGACAGATTGAAATCCCTTTATCAATATCAAGTTAAAAAAGTAATTTTTCAGTAGGTTAAAAAAAATAATTTTTTGTTATCAAAAAAATAAAATAAAAAAAAATAATTTTCACATAAAAATGTTTATAGTATGTTATAAAATTATTTGTGATTGTCGAAATAAATGCTTTAAAAAATAAATTGATTCTATTTATATAAATATATTAAATATATATATATATATATAGGGATGAATGTTTATCCTTTTAAATCAAATGGTATAGAGTTGTATCATGTCAGTAAAAATCACTGTATTTTATAGTGAGAGAAACATAAATTATAGTGGAAACAAGTGAGAGATTTTTTAAATATTAAATACAAATACTAATTTTAACTAAAATATTTATTTTTTGAAATAACAAATATTTTTCCTATATATATGAAAATAAATAATCTCATGATGGAGAAGATGTTTGTCCTTTCAAAATCACACCAGCACTTTATTTTTCTTTCCTTTTTTGAAATTGTGGGTCCCAAAAGATTGTCTCTATTGATATAGAACATTTCTTGCAACATAAGATTATTATTTCTATATATATATGAAAAATATTTCTCCCGTTACAGAAAAGAAAGTTATCCCTTGCAATCTAAAACTACGTAATTTTAAGGGTTGGGGATTTAATTAAATGTGTTTTGTTAAAAAAATTATTATATGAATTTTATCTAAACTCTATTTATTAATTTCCAAACTCTCAAAACGACAAAACGACATAGTTTTGAGTTGCAGGAGAAAATTTATTTCATGTGACAAGAGAAACGATAAACCCTGTAGTCACATGACTCACATAGATAAAGTTATCTCTTGTAACCTTAAAATTATATTATTTTGAGGGTTAGGAAAATTAATGAAAGATGTTTGATCAATTTTATTTGTATCTTTATTATATAAAGGGTTCATTTTTTCTGCAATCAATGTAGATAAGTTATCTACATTGAATCCAAAATGACATCAATTTACGGTGGAAATCAAGATGTTTTTGTAATTATAATTTATTTTAGGGTTATAATAGTATTTCTCAGTATAATTTTTTAATCAAAAATGACGTCATTTCGAGAGTGGATGTAGATAACTTATCTACATTCACTGTAAAAATATTAAAATCTTATATAAATTTTATTAAAACACCCTTAATTAAGTCTTTTAACTCTCAAAACAACATATTTTTATGATTATATAAAGGGAAAAGTATTTATCTTTTTAAATAACACAACTTATATTCTTTCACTCTCACAAAGAAATGGGACCCACACCTTTATTTTTTTTGTCAACTCTCTCTTCCTTTATCTAACTCTTTCTCTCTTTTCCTTTATCTAACTCTTTCTCTCTCTTAAAATGACACAACTTAATATCCTTTAAAATGACACACACTTTACCCTTATACGAAATATTATTATCTCCCGTAAAACAATAAATCCTATATATGAAGTTGTTTTACCATGTAACCCCAATAGCGCACTTATTTGCCATTCCGAACACAGAAAGCATAGGAAGTTCGCAAGCGAAGCTTTGGAACTGAGACAGGTCATCGAGGAGGAACAGTTTTTAGAATCCCCATTTATGACATGACAACTTTTCAATCATTTGTTTTGGTTGGTACCCTTCATTAATGATGTCTACAGGGTAGGTCCCCTCCAGCATAAAATTCTTCTTTTTAATTTTTGTGTTTTTGCTTATTGGCCAGGAATATATTCTCCCATTTTTACTTGTTGCTATGCAATTTTATAACTGATTTGTTAACTCTCTCCTTACCGGAGGTTTGTTTTTTATTTTTATTATTTTAAGATTTAATATTTTTTCGATCACGGGATATATAGTTATTTTCAAAAAAATTAATTATAAAAATTAATATAACTATAAAATAAATTAAAATTTCAAAAATATCTTTTCTCCAATATCAAAACATCGTCATTTTAAAATTAGACAAGTTATATCTACTGACCTCATAATAGTAAACCTTTTTTTTAACTAAAACCTCTTTCAAGAAGTTACTTAATTTTTTTTCTTTAAAATGAGATGATTCAAACACCTACAAATTAGGTTTAGGATGTGTATTACAACCTTTTCAAAATTATTTTTTTTTCAAATTTTGTTTCCGGGAACAAAAATATATAGAAAAAGTGTTTGACAAAATCGATTTATTTTTTTGTTTTCGAGAATGAACTGGTTCAATTTATTTGTTGAGAAACATAAAAAAGAATTAGAAATTTTTTGCTTTTTTGTTTTCGGACACAAAATGAGAAATATTTATATCTTTCAATCACTATCCACCAATGTTATTAAAATTGGTCCAATTATTGACTTGGTCGAGGTATTGAGTCATTGATTTAACCAGTGGTTCACTGGTTCAACCGCATGACCCGATAAGTATACGTAAATCTGTAATTTATATTAAAAAAACTATAAATATACTTCAATACCTGTAAAAAAAAAAATACAAATTTCAAATATTTTAATATAACAAAAGATCAATTAAATATATAATATTTGTGATACTGGTGTTTCAGGTTTAGTAGAAGACATCTCTAACTATAAATCAAATTAAAATTTCCTGCGTATTGCATAACTAAGATAATATTAATGTTGTAGGTACATAATCTATATAAGTGGATAATGTACAAATCACATAAATATATATATTGAAATATCGAGGTTTGAACATATGACTATCTTAAATCCGTCGTGACTATATCAATCCTAATGACTTTTATGTGATGATATATAATTGGACAACGACACAAAACTTTTATTCATCATCAATATTAAAAGAAGAGACGAAAAACTTATTTTGGTGAAAGATTATTTTCATTGATATCTAATGAATTGAAGTATGTCCATTTCATCATCAATACGACAACAGCTGATGAAGGAATCAATTTTCTTCTAACAGAACTAGAAACTAACTTGGTAATAGTTAAAAAAAAAAAAAAACTGAACAGAGAGAAACTAGTTACAACTGTATAACTACTATACCAAGGAAAAGTTACGCTGCGTCGGAGTGCATGTATACTATCGTAAGAATTAAAATTAAACTTTTAACAAAATGCCAAATCGAGTATACTTACGTAAGTCATAATCACTCTTATATCGTAAAATAAATTTTATGGAATAATTATATTATAAAATTTATTATTAAATTAAAAATTATTAGTATATAAATCATATTTATAAAATTTTATAATATTTTCAATTTATTTAATACTTAATTGATATATATCAAAATTAATGTAATATATACTTTTAATATATAAATATAAAAATCACTTGATTATATTCATATTTTTATTAAACATAAATTTGTATTGCTATTTAATTTTTACAAGATTTAATGTATATAATTAAAATAAGAGATAATTACAACTTAATAATTCGATCGATAAAAATTAAAATTATTGACTGATGTCAGAACTCAGAACAATGTTGAATGACCAAAGTCACAGACTCAACTCAAAAAGTTAACTTATCCCAGTTCACACGCAAGTTACCACAGAACTTGTCTGAAATAGTGAAAGCATAAGGTCTAATGTGTTCATGTTGTCACTTACTACTTGCACACACCATTTGAGTCACCCCTTACATTATGCAGTGCAAACCGTTGCCCCCAAACCATGTGTTTTTATTACATCAATACCGATGCAATCTACTTTTCAATTTTCATCCGATTTTTCTGGATTTGTATTTTTATCAAGAGATTAATATTTTTCATATTTTAAAAAATAAATTTTATCTTTTACAAATATACAAAAATATATAAAACCCATTTAAACACATATAAGGAGATAAAAGAAAAATAAAATATGAAAAATCTAACACACTTTTATATATATATAAAAAATAAATTTATCCCTTACACCATAACAAACAATATACCCTTTTATCAAAGGAAAATATTTTTCTCATTTCGTTGGAGATAGCTATCTCATGCTATACACCCATCGAATTTTGTGCCAGCTTTTTCCATTTCTTTTCCTTTATTTTAAAGTGTGGACCCCACATATTTATCTCTCACACATGAGAGAACTATCTCAAGCAACATGAGATTAATAACTCCCTTTATCAAATATGAAAAGCATTCCGCCTTTACCTTGTAGTCTTGTACAATGTAATAACTTTTGGTTGTTCAATTATAATAAATTTACTTCAAAAAAAAAAAAAAAAAGTCATTCTTTTAATACATTAAGTCAGATTTTGACTTGTTCAACCAGTTATAATCTTACACGAACAGTTAGGGCAGACCACAATGTACAAGAATCATCATCATACACTAACTTTATAGAAACAGAAACAGCAAATTGCCAATCCAATGGAAATTGACTCCAAAACAGTAACAGGCGCAGTGATGGGACAGACTGTTCAGGATTCCTCCTACCATAAAGTGTGAACAGTTCGGTTAAGAAATGGTAGTTGTACATTTTAATATGCTTAGTTATGACTGAAGCCTAAGTACCTAGATGATTTACCTAAATCCTTACAAGGATTAACGTTTGAACGAATACCCTAAAATGATATTCAAGTTTGTCAAGCCAATGATATTAGAAAATCATGTTTGGAAGAATATTAAAATTAGAGCTATACAGAGATTAACTTAGCATATGTAAACATGACATGACACATGCAAATCTAACACCCAGCAGCCTTAAGGAAATTGTCAAAGGGGCTAGCAGGAGGCAGCTTCATGGCTAGCCCTGGTGGATCCCTTGGCAATGCAGCTACTTGGGCATGCCCACCACCATTTACTACCTACAAGGAAATAATAAGAATAGAATGTGAGCACTACATTTAAAAGAGTTGGATTTATTTAGAACAGACCCCAATAACGCCTAAAATAATTGGAATCATAAAAAATAAGGAGCACCATCCAGTGCTTGAGATCCTATTATGAACATATTGTGTGCTTAAAAAGAAAAGACAAACCTTTTCAAGTGCTGAGTTACTGTTATCAGCAATGGCCAGAAACGATTTATCTGCTGCTTGACTGTAAAGATTCTCAAAGGCTAGCCAATTTGAAAGCTTCTTCCTTGCACATGTCCCAAGCGATTCACACTGGCTAGCCATAGTGTTATATGGAAGGGGCGAAGTGGAGACAGCTGTTCCTGCCACTTGACCGGCTACCTCTAGTGCCTAAAATCAGTGGATTGATGGGTTGTTGAGCTTATAGGAAACAGTAATAATGAAATGTATGCATTCTGTAACCCAAGTCCATTGACAGTGCTTGGAAAAATAAGAATGAAAAGAAAAACTATTGGAATTCAACTTAAGTGTTTCAATTAAACTAGCCCCCCAGTCAACAATCATCCTCTCCTCCCCCCAAACATAATGTTGGCTGCAATATTATTTTTTGGATTTCAAAAATTTTCACAGCACTGCCCATCAAATACTCCAATTACTTTCATATTTTCATTAAACACATTGTCATCATTTTGCCAGCACAAGAGCATCAGATGCATAATACTTGATCAATATAATAGGGCCTGTATTACACAATGCCTGATAATACATACACACATGCAATGCAAGACACACACACACAGAGAGAGAGAGAGAGAGAGAGAGAGAAAGAGAGTACCGATTCCATAAGCTGTCCAATGCTGAGAACATGAGACACAGAAGGGGAAACAGGCATCTTTGGAATAAATCGAGAAATGTCAGAGACAGATGCTTCACTGGTTGTGTCATCTTCACCTACTGAATTTGAAGGAAAATCCTGCATAACCGGGGGAAAAAAGATCAATACATTTTTGTTTCAAACTTTTCTTTTATTCTACCCCTCCACAAAAAAGAATCTGCTGGCCATGGTGATAGGTAACAGGTCGTTGGTCAGATGCTTTGAACCAAAATGTCACTTTTTTTAATAGCTAGGAGGGCTTGCAGACCTATTAAGGGGGGAGGGAAGGAGGGGCGAGGGATCAAAGCCATGGTATCAAGCCATGGTGTTGAGATATATAGTCTCACATTGGTTGTATAAGCACCTAATGTGGAGTTTATAAGGTCTAGGGTACTCCCACTCTTAGAGCTAACTTTTGGGGTGGTGTATCCCAAGGTTCTTTACATGGTATCAGAGCTTGAGTGACTACAAGGTCATAAGTTCGATCCTTACCGCCCCCACTTTAAAGTGGAATTAAAATAAAAAGCACAAAAAGGTAAACCAAAAATTGGGCCTGTGCATAATCCACGCTTCAAGCCCAATTGGCTCTCGTGTGAGGGGGCGTGTTGAGATATATAGTCCCACATTGGTTGTATGGGCAACTAATGTGAAGTTTATAAGGCCTTAGGCACTCCCACCCTTTGAGCTAGCTTTTGGGGTGGTGTATCCCAAGGTTCTTTACATGGTATCAGAGTCGGGTTGGGCTCGAGCTAGCCTGGTGATTGGCTAGGAGGAGATTGTTGGTGGGTTTCACACTTGAGGGGGAGATTGTTGGGATATTCAAGTGTGATGAGTCTCACATTGGTTGGTAATGGGCTAAGTGAAGAGTATATAAGTGAAAGGGACTCATGAACCCAATGCCTTAAGGTTTTGGGTTGAGACATGGTGTCGAATCCACTTGCTACGGTTGATGTAGCCTTAGCTTATTGGTGGTGGCCCCCGCCACGGGCTTCCCCCCTAAACCCGCCTGACATTGGTATCAGACCATGTAAAGAACATTTGGGTTGAATTGGTTCTTTACATGGTATCAGAGCCTCGTGTCCCAGGTTCGATCCTCATCGCCCCCACTTTCTTTCAAGTGGAATTTCTTTGTTCGCACAGGTAGGTGGGCCTGTGCATTGTCCACTCTTCAAGCCCAGTGGGCTCTCGTGCGAGGGGGCGTGTTGAGATATATATAATGTAGTCTCACCCAACAGCTTAAGCTTTTGGTTCTTTATACATGGTCAATGATGTGTGAGCTATTCAATTATAATATTTCTAGAAACATTCTGAACTGTTTTCATATGCACACACATATACTTCAATGGGAAGGACAACATCTTCATACAGGGAACTGATCTGCTGCAACCAATTACCAGCTTAGAAATAACATAATGTTAGCATAGATAACATACCCCATCAAACGAAAGTGACTCCTGGGAATAAAAAACCATTTTATTCTGATCAAGAATTGACTGTGGACCAAACACAAATTCTTCATCAGGCTTGAATGTCTCTGAGAGTAGCATGGCTAGGTTATCTGTATCCAGCTTAAGAAACAGAAACAAGAAAATCAGGAAGTGAGAGAGTCGCAGGTTATGAACAAAATATGGTCCCTGAATAAAATGTAATACCTCAGTGATGTTAGCTAAATTATGAACCAAAACATCCTGTGCGATCTTGTGACATTTACATATATTGTTTCGTAACTCGGATAATATTGATATGGCCAACTGATTATCAGCAGCAGTACCATATTCTCTCACATCCACATGGGTCTTAGCATATACTTGATGGTCGTCACTGATACCCAAGAATGGATCAACCTGATTATATAGCAGGTCGTTGTTAAGATATGTTGTTTAGATTATGCATAAAAATCACGGCTTTAATTCTATCAAAATAAGCGAGACAATCCTCTAGCAGACATTAAAGAGTAGCAAAGCATCAGAATCAGATCAGTCACTTACTTCAGATATCGCTAATGAGGCGAACATATCATTCAGGTCATGAATCTGATATATTTTGCAGGCAGACATCAACATGCCAGTAGATAATACAAAGACAGACCTCTGACATGCTGGGGGCAACATTCCTGCCAGAACATGAGTACATCAATTATGCATTCTTTTTTATAATAAATAATTATAGTTCCTTTGAAATTAAATAGTTCACTTTAAGATACTCTATAGGTCTTACCATTACTTAAGTCCAACAACATCGTCCAGAGAGACAGAGGAAGCTGGAAGAAGCGGATCAACAGGTTATCTCTGTCTTTCAGGTTCTGCAATGTTACATTTTGAAATATTTTAACAATCAGAATAATGATTACAGAAGTATATAACACAAAGTGCAGTCCAGATTGTGATTATATTTAGTTTCCTATCAAAATGAGAATCCGATATTGGGAACTCAAGCATACAAAAGTACAAACATTCAATCAACCCTGCGTGATCTATCCAAAAGCACAGAGGCGGTACAGATGAAACTATTGGGATACAAAAAATAAAGATGTGACAAGTAATATGAATACGTACAAAATTCTACCTTTATGCGTAAAACAATTAGTGTTAATATATATGAATTAGCTACAGCTTCAATATTTGAAGGTAAATTGTCAGGAAGATTAGCTTGAATCCAAAAGGCAGAAAGCAGCTGGGCCATTTGATCTTCACTTAGCTTCATAACACATGGTTCCTGAGAGCCAATTCAATACCAGAGTTGGTAAATAACAAGTTTTTACAAAAAAATAATCACAAATAATAAAACCTATTGACAGAAATAAATTCAATTACTTACGGTGTCAGTCAAATTTGGAGATCCTGTAGCCCTATCAATGATAGAGCTGAGTTTGTATAAGATAGGGGAATTCTTTATGCCACAGCCCTGCTTCCAGTCCTCTGCCACAATATCCCTTTCTTTGCAACCATCATGATCTATATTCCTATGATTTTCTGCCTTGGTGCCATCTCTGCCTCTGCGGAGCTTCTCAAGTAAGGCTGTGATTGAAGCAGATGCAGATGCAGATGCAGTGTGAGAATGCCTTTTATCGCGCTGATCTAGATATCTGGACCGCAGAGAGGAAACTTCATGTATGTTGAAGGAACTTGGAAAAAGAAGTACAGAAAATAAAAGGTGTGCTCCAACACGAGCCTCCACATCTGAATGCAACATTACTTTTAGGAGTTGCACAAGAAGAGCTTCAGGAAATCCCTAGATGGAAGCATCAGAAATTATCAATGGATGTATTCCAAGATAACAACAGTAAGTCTCCTAAAATCTACAACCATTCAAAGGAAAAGAAAGATTCACCAGAATGATGGATACGATTCATTCTGAATTTTCCAAAAGAAGCAATTAGCAAAAATGTTCATCTGTTCAAAGTTATGTTTCAGACAATGCCTCTTCCTCCCTAGCATAAAATTTTTCTAGTAAATATACATATTTGGTTAAGAATGTTACTAAATTTTTCTAGTAAATATATCCTTTAAAAGTATTGGATTACAACAAGCTCCTCTTACCTGCTGTGAACGTAAGCGGTCCAATGCTAAGGTGACCGCACGAGCAAGGATTATCAGTGATCCAATGGTGGCTCTACCAACAACACCGGATGGGATATTTTCTAGGGTTATTGCCATCAAGTCAAAGAGTGGCTGGGCATCAATGATCTATTCAACCGACAAAGATAAAAGTAATTTAGTAGCAGAATGGAATGCAGTGACCAATTTAACAGTAAATTGTGATTTTATGGGGAGAAAGAATGTATTCATAAACCTACCCCATGGGCAATTTCTAGTAAGCAGTCCTCAATGGAATTTTGGAGTGAGATATTCAAGTTCAGCTCTTGCTCTCCAAAAAATTCGCTGGAGGCTTGAAGACTTTTCCTAAGATGCCTGCAAAGGTCACCAACAAAACCAACCTCTGCCAAACCTCTCCCTGATCTGATTTGCATAGCTATAGATGTGGCGACTTGAACAACACAGGTCTTAAGTTGGGGATCATTCACAACGTTTTTGTGGTCCAGATGATGTATGACAGAACCAAGAATTAAGCGTTGATTCCCTGTAGAAATAGGTAATAAGAAAGGAAAACACCATTATTGAACAAGAATGGAAGGTTTCGGGGGGGAAAAAAACTCAAATAGCATTGCTCATAGCACATAGCTGTTTTAAAATCCTAAACTCCGCAAATCTTTAAAAGTATAACATGGAATATGACACTACATCCACTGAATGGTTTATTTCTGAAAAGTATTTGAGTCAGGAAGTGGTAAGAGAGAACAATACCTGTGCTCTCCATGAAGTAAGCCATGCTGGATAAAACCATCATTGCTAACCCGTTCTGAGGAGCCCAATGTTGCCTAGAATCAAAGTAGACAAACATTGGATCCAGTACACGACGCATAGTTGTGCTTTCCTTAGCTAATTCAACCATTCTTTGAATGCATATCTGAGCCCATATTTCTGGTTTTTCAATTTCTTCTCTATAACAATGATAAATAAAAAAATCATAAAAGGGAACTAAACAGTGATTAAAAGCTGTGTAACAGACCAACTGCCCCAACTACAACAGTAAATAAATGGCTTAACACTTTTTTTTAAGCTCTAGAATAACAAATACCTAGTTAAAAGGGAAGGATCCCTTTTTTCTGGTCGTGGCTGGATCATCAAGCAGCTTGAGCGAATGTCATTACCAACAACTGAACCACCCCGACCTTCACACCGGATAACCTCATCCACCCAATTATGATGTGACTCTGCCCTGACATCAGCACCTTCGCTTTGTCTACTCCACTCATAGTTATCTAAAGTGCAATGAACAATCTACATTTTGAATGAACCAACAAATTAGAGATGATACCTGACTGAGAATAAAGAGCAGGAATCCAACATGTAAATTTAAAAACAGTATCAGCATAATGGTAGCTACAGAGTTGTTGGTTTTGATTCCTAATTTCCTAATAGTGCAAACTGCAAAACTTCATGACAAATTGGTTATTCATATTAAATTAAGAGCATCATACAGCCTTGGCAGCATTTATAGTCTGTGATCTTCTGTCAAAAAAATTTATTTCATCACATTTTCACCCCAATATTAGATATATGCCACGTTCAACAATGATGATCTAAAGTCAGTTGGGAGCAACTCAATAACTTACCTCATCAAAACCAACAAAAATGTGTGAAAACTCAGCCATGAACCAAACCTGCCAAGAAAAAAGGCAGTCAAATAAACAATGCACTTACTCCAAAAAGAGTCAGAAACAACGATAAAAAAAACTCACGACAAACATGAATCTTTTCATGAAAATAAACATTGGAAAGCAAAGAGAATGAACTGAAACATACAACATCAGAAGCACAAAGGAAATCAAATGGAGCACTAAATACCATAGCTGAAAGGCATTGCAAGCTTGATGCCCTCAAGCAGCGCTTTTCATGTGTTTCACCATGCTCTTGTGATAGCATACATACTTTCCTCACGAACTTCTCAATGTTATAAGTATAAGTGGCATCTACCTGTTCTTTCATTGTGTCAGTAACATGAAAGTGCATGGCAAAAATGATGTCAGCTACTACATAGGATGGCAGAAAGTAGTAGAAGAAACAGATCAGATCATCATTGATTAGAAAGACCGAACATAATAGCGAAGGTAGGGCCTACAATTATTACAACACTTGCTTTAGATTATTACTAGTGTACTAATACACTCTATTGTGGTTGTGGACAAAGATATTGTGTAAACCTTTTCCTGTTTCCAAGTACATAAATCAAAGTAAATATTGTTCTGGTAGAATTGCAGTCATGCAAAAGCCACATAAGCAAAAAGCTCAAAAGTATCTTAGGCTTTTTGGATTGTATAATTCACCTGACAGTAGATGAATCTTGTTAAGGATTGGCAACCAAGTGTCTGAATGGTCTCATCCTTAGAATAGCCCAAGAGCTCCGAAATTACATTAAGCACATCAATAGCAAAATATGCTCTGCAATATGCAAGAGATACATGAAAAAAATATAGGATGAATAACATAAAAACTGTATGGTCAATATCATAATGAAAAGTATCCATAACATATCAATTGTTTGATACCAGTGCACCACCAACAGAATGTGGAAACATAAGCCTATTAAGCATGAGAAACTTACATCTGCACCTTACAAATGGAAAGCAACTTGTTGAAAGATTCTGTTATAAGCTTGACCAGATTGATGTGCTCAGATCTGAGTTCTTTGTAGCACCTTTCTTCAAGATATTTTGCTATCTAACAGAGAGAACAGATATCGTGAACCTCAGCAATGGATTCAGCTAATTCAAGCATATCTTATTTTCCTATTCTTTTGCTTCTTTTTTAATTAAAAAAAAAAAAACCTACCAAAACATGAGTAAAATAAAAGAATAATAACCTTTGGAATCCGGAAAGGGTTTTTTGCTGCATATTCACATAATTTGATAATCTTCCTTTCACTTGGAAGCTCATCCTGAGAAGTATAATCCAGTTAATTGATTAACCAACAAGCATGCTTGGTTTATAAGAATCATACAACTTTCTTTATGTTGAGAACAGCGATAAACCAATAATCTCCAAAAAAAAAAAAAAAATGTTTTTTAAGAGATCATATTGGTGAAAAAGGAGCCCCATTTGCTCAAAACAGCTATGGTAAAAACAGAAGCTCAATGAGGTTACAATTTCCATTTTCAAGGAAAAAGGAGTGTGATAAGACACTAACAGGTGATTTAGGGAAGATATCAGCAAGCAGTTTTCTATAACGCTTGACTGGCTGGCGTGAACTTGACCTCAAAGCAGGACAGCAAACACACATGTTGCCACATGCTGGAAAGATCTTCCTGGAGATGATACCCATTACCTGAAATTCCCAAAATGAGACAAAAAAAAAATGTAGCCAAAACTATAGCAAACCCAGTTAAAATATGCAAAACTACAAATCTGAAAACCACTAGCAAAAACTAAAACCCCCCAATCAGTTTACACAAAACAAAAAAAAAATAGAGGCAACAAAACCAGGATCCAAAGAAAAAACTCAGCAACAGCTGAAAGCAAGGACATTAAAACTGAAAACTGCTAAGAGAGTAAGCAGTTACAAACATGTCCAGTTTTTAAAAAGAAAAAGCATTAAAAAAGAGAAAACCAGCGACCCAGAAAGGAATAAATAAAGTAGAAACGACCACAGACTATAAAAAAAGAAACTTTGCAAAGTATCATAAACAACAACAAAATTTTTCCTAGTGATAATAAACAGAACCCAGAGGGGACAACCACCTAGTTTCTGAAAATTCTAGAAAAGAGAGGGGCAGAAAAGTGACTACCTAGACCCTTTGGAAGATTGAAGAAGATCTGGGAATGGGAGGTGAACCCTCACACACAACAAGGGTAAGCAGTGGAGAGGAAGTGTAAATTGTAAGAACTAACGACACGAAATAGCATTGGTATAGCAGTTAATGCAAAGAGAGAAAAGAAAAACCAAAACAAAAAATGGCGCGTGGGTTAAGACAAGTTAAGGCAACATCGGAGACTATCAGCTTCTTTGGATTTGCGTTTGAAAACTTCAGACCCAAGTTCCAACCGCATAACCGTGATTTGGTGCGTTAAGATTATGTTTTGCAGCTCTAAACTTTTTTTTTTTTTACACTAAAGTTTCTAAATATTAATTATTATTTTTTATGTTCTTGACCACTATATTAGGCTCATTCCTTGGCCTATCTCCCTTGGTTTCACCTTTCATATCAGTTAAAATCTTTTAGAAAATGTTGATATTAAAAGAATGTTTTCTTTTCCTTTTTCTCTTCTTCGTGATATATCTCTTTTTTTCATTTAAAATAATATAATTTTATATTACTTAAAATGATACATATTTTTTCTTTCTCATGATCATTGGTAATGAATTATTCTCCTGATTTCAGATCTAATTAACTTCAATTGCATATCTCACCCTGTTTTTCTTTTAAAAAAAACATCTAACCCTGATTGTATATTTATCCTAATATCTTTTAAGATTTAAAATTTTTAAAGTTACATTAAATAAATTTATTTAATATCCATCAAAATATATATATAAATATACGTAGAATTTATGTAAAAATAAATAAAAAAATAAGTCCCCCTGTATTTGGTAAACATTAAAGGAACGAAACTTTAAACCCTATCTAATAAATCAAAATTTAATTTTAACGTACACTATGTTATACGTGCTGGATCACGTGATGGTGTCAGGAAGAAACACAAATCCATTTTTTTCTTTGCTGTAAAAGTATACCTACGGCCTGCTGTTTCAAACTGTGTCAGAATTTGGAAAACACAACACAACACAACGGAAAAAAATTTGTAAAAAAAAAAAAGAAAAAAACTCCCAGTGCACGCTTATGGAAACTGATGTTACATAAACTCTTTTTTCCTAGTGAATAGTGAATAAGAAAGTTTGAAGCTTTATTTTGAACTCTTCACGGGGTACCCTTTCCTACAAGGGCTCTCTCTATTGAAGTGGCATCATTAGTCATTTCATTTTCATTACAAATATTAGAGAAAAAAAATAAAGAAATGCTGATAGTGATGACAGATATAAATAATCGGTGCACATGCTGTCGGAGCTTGTAAAATTTTCTGGCTACATGACGTAAATGTTGGGACTTAGCGGGCAATTTTGTTAGCAATATATACATAAAATATAGGAAGGGCCAAACAAAAGTAGATGCTGATATTATGCCCAAATGACTCTATAATATTTGAAGTTTTGAACCATTCATGAGAGGGGGCACCGAGCTCATGTTTGACTTATTCGGAAAATGGCGATGCCCCTCAAACGTACCACGGGATAATACAGTGCACATGGCCAATTCATGGCTTTTTTTCACATTTTTGTCAATTTTTTTATAAGAAAAATTCAATAAGATGACATTGGTAATTTAAATATGAAACAGGGGGGCGTTTGGTACGCGGCATTTGGCCGGATTCCCCGGAAATTGAATTTTTCTAAATTTTAAATTTTCGAATATTATCGTAAACTGAATGTAAAAATCATATTTTTAAAAATTGAGATTCCCGGACAAATAAAAATTTCTCCTGTACCAAACGCCCCCTAGAGATTCCATGTGACCAGGTTACCACGAGGCACACCGGCTACGTAAGTTGAAATTCATCCTGATTCAAACACGCTGTATCCCCAACTGTTTTTTGGATGCTGCCAGAGTAATTGTATAAATAATAATAATTTTTTAATAACGAAGATAGTAAATAATGCAATTTTATTTTGAAGGAAAAAATTTAAAAAACTCCTCTCATATTGTGTTGAATCACTTATATTTTTATACTTTTTTTTAATCACTTGATCTTATGTGATTTTTTCATCCACATCGCGCCTTAATATTATCAAAAAATTAACTACGTATACATATTATACTCTTCTTAGAATAAAAAATAAGATCAAATGTTATAAAAACTTAGAACACTTAATAAAAGATTAAAAGAAAAAATAATAAACAAAATTAAATGTGTGAAAATAAAATAAAATAAAAAAATAAGACCAAATATATTAAAAATACAATAGTGACAAAAAATATTAAAATTAAAAAAATAAAAATAGTTCAAATAAAAATAATATACTGAAAATGAAAAATTAGAATAAAAAGAAATCACTTATGAGTTTCAAATATATTTAGTTTTATTTTTTCTTTTACTTTTTTTCCTTTTTTGTCCTTGGTCTATTTTATTCTTTTAAATTTATATATGTTTGTCTTTTTTCTATTTATTTTTTTTGCACTTTTTGGTTTATTTTGTTCTAATTTTCTTCTCATTTTTTTAAGCCTTATGTCATCCCATCTATTAAAGATTTTCATACAAAAATTAAGAGAAAAAAAAAGAGAAGGAGAATAAAATAGAGATATAAAAAAGACCAAACATATCTAAATAAAAAAAAATAGACCAAGGACAAAAAAATAGAAAAAGAATAAATAGATCAAGGACAAAAAAAATAGAAAAAGAATAAATAGATCAAGGACCAAAAAATAGAAAAAAAAATAAAAGCAAATATATTATAAATTCATAACTGAAATTTCTTTTTGTTCTATTTCTTTTTTATTTTATTTTTTATTATATTTTTTCTTCTATTTTTTTGTCTTCAATATTTTTTTTCATTTAGACTCTTTTTTTTTAATTTTAATCTTTTCTTGGATTTTTAATATATTTGATTTTTTCTTCTATTTCTTATATTTTTTTATTTCAACAGATAACACAATTATCTTTTTTGCTATTTTTTTATTTTACTCTTTTATTAAGTGTTATAAGTTTTTATAATATTTGGTCTTTTTTTTCTTTATCACTTTATTTTCTTCTTCTAAAAATGATAGAATAGGTATATTTAGTTAATTTTTTAATAGTGTTAAAGAGGGGAATGGATAAAAAAAATCACAAGAAATTAAGTGATTAAAAAAAGTACACGGATATAAGTGACTCAAAACAATATCACAAAGGTCTTTTTTTTAACTTTTTCTTATTTTGAGAAAGAGATAAATTATGTGAGAAAGAAAGTAATGTTTTATTTTTAATTTAAATTTTAAATAAAACACACTATTTTTTTACCTAAAAAGATCATCCGATACACACGTTTCTGATTATTTATAATGCAAATTAATATTTACATTAAGTGAAAAAAATACAGGAAAGAGGGAGTGGAATTTGTACGGATGCTAATACGGTGCTGGTAACATCTGGTAAATATGTTAAGAGTCACGCTTGATTTTTTTTTTTTTAATTTAAATTTTGAGCCCTTATCCATTCATTACTATACAATTTTTTTTAAGTCTTTTTGTAATTCTTGTTCTTAAAAACACCTTCCTCAATCAGGAACACGGCTGCGAAAGTTTCCCTTGCAGCGAAAATTTCTGCCAAACAATATGTAGCTTATGATTGTTGGAACTAAATCGATTCCACTTGCAATCCCAACTTCTCTGTCGGTCAAAGGCTCATGAAATCAAGAAATTCAACTGATTCTTCAACCTTTCTTTGCCAAAAATTCACAAAAGTAATAACTATATCTCTATCTTGGGATACTTGTAAGCTAAATTATTACAAAAGGAATGAAGTTAAATCTAAATATGAACGTTAACTTAACTGCTACTCAAACTCATATTCATTGATCAAACGAGCATAAGCCCCACTGCTTGATGCTTAAATCGATTTAATGCTTAATATTATTAATTCTACATCATGTGTTATATCAATTATGTAACATCAACCATTTATTTAATTTTCCATAACTAATTAATAATCATAACACATGATTACCGCGAAGAATATCTTATAATTTGGCAAATCTAAATAATAAGATGATTAAAGTTGAAGATAATAATCTTGCATTTAGCACGCGTCGAGTTAAAGGAAAAGAATGCTCGTAAACGAACCTCTATTGGTTGAGAGCTTCAAAAGCTGTTGCCGACTAGTTAATAACACTAACACAACATTTTTTTATTTTTATTTTTTATTTTGGTAAACCACTAACACTGCATTTGAATTACGATCGCATAATCATGACACTGGTAACTGCAATGATGACCAGTGGTGAATCAAGGAATTTTTTTTTTTGAGGACTAAAAATTAAATATTTGTTTCTCTCTGATATATGAGAGGTCAAAATACGAAAAATTAAATTTTTGTTCCTCTCTTCAACCACAATATGTGTGAGGCCGAAACACTAATCCAGAGAACGTAACTCATAAATACTCTTTTAACTTGTTATAGAGAGAAAGATGGAGAGAGAGAGGTAGAAGATGTCACAGTAAAATCTACTATCAATTTAAAAAAACTACAGCTTTTCAACCTCTAAAATGAACATTTTTTATGCAAAGAAACCAAAAAAAAAAGAGAAGAGAGCAAAGGTTTAGATTTCACAAAAAATATTAACTAATTACTATATCTAAATAGATAATTCAAAGGAGTCAGATTGCCAAGAAGCACAATCACCAAAACCCTTCTGCCCCTCACTTCCCTCTATGTCACAAATCATCAGGAGAGGGATCGAAAGAATAAGGTTCATTCTTTCATAAGACTCTCGGACTTCTTATTTTTATTCATGGATGGGAAGATTTGTGCTAACATCTAAGCATAATAAAAGTTGAAACTGTAAGTGTCAAGTCGAGGTTTAAACTATAATTTAAGGGGAATGTTATATTTACAAACTTTTCGTTTAGAAACTCTTACAAACTATATTGTGTCTGACCGACATACTTTGATAAGAGTGTATGACTGGTTATACTTAGTGTAATTTGTAAACAGATCTTATAAACTCTCTGTGGTGGGAGAAAACTACTTCACATTAATAGAGAGAAAAAATAGAAATTTCTTGCAATATACTTATGTTAAAAAAATTCTTCAAATTTTGAGGGGGGCGGCCGCCTACCCTAGCACCCCCCTCGGTCCGCCCCTGCTGACAGCCACATGATGTTATATCACTCGTCAATCCATGGGTTGATGGCTGTGGGTGTTGGAGTATGAATTTAGCAATAAAAAATATGAGATTTGCATTTATCATTTAACATGACAGAAGAAAGTTTCCTACACATACAATATTTTGTGGGATCCACACTTTTTGAAACAAAAAAAATTACAGCACGCAAAACGAATCTCTATAACATTACACAATCACTTTTCCTACAACATAACTCTTATAAAATCTAAAGAATATTTGAATGTCATGGTTGTAATATATTTTTCTAAACTACCACACAATTGAAGTCCTTAGATAATGATGTAGCGATTTTATACCAATCACATGGCACACTTTGACTGGCCATCTAAGTCTCATGAGTATATATATATATCAAAGTCGCTACATAATATAGCGACTTTGGACCTGCTTAAATACTTGACAACTTTTTTTGGCAACATTGCTACATAATATAGTGACTTTGAACTATTTTGAAATTTTTACCAAAGTAGCTACATGATATAGCTACTTTGGTTAAAAAAAAAAAAATCCACCATTTTTGCATTACAATTTATGAAAATGCATTTTTTTTAGACAAAAAAATAATATGGTTCCTTATCTGATATAAAATTTATTATTTTCCAAATTTAAAGATTTTTTTCTTTGGAATTTCTTTTCATAAATATTATTACCTAATGTTATCTTAACTATAATTTATAATTTATCATTCATCATTTATCATTCTTCTTTGGAAAGAATCTTGATGCTATGAAGTAGTTTTTCAAGTTTGCTAACAAACTGTACAACACCAAATGATTCTTTCTAAAGAAGAATGATAAATGATAAATTATAGTTGGTAGCATGGGGACTGAGTGGTGGAAGAGGATATCGGTTTGAATCCCACCAACACCATCTGGGGAGGGGCATAAGTACCGTAATTTTTGGACTCACACCCGAACTCTGGATTAGTCTCATAGGCGGCTCAAAGAGTCGAACCCGAGGAAATACCGGAGGGTTCTGATTCGCCTCAAAGAGGTAATTAGGATCGGTTTCCAAAAAAAGATAACATTAGGTAATAATATTTATGAGAAGGAATTCCAAAGGAAAAAATGACTTTAGATTTGGAAAATAATAATAATTTTATACGGTTGAATTATCATTTTCAGATAAGGGAATCAAACTTTTTTTTCCTCTAACAAAATGCATTTCCATCATAAAAGAATTGTTGTGGAAAAATCACCAAAAAAATAAAATAACCAAAGTAGCTACACCATATAGCCACTTTGGTTAAAAAAAAAAATCCAGAATAGGCTGAAGTAGCTACACTATGTAGCGACTTTGGCCAAAAAAAATTGTCACGTGTTAAAGCTGGCCAAAGGCTATATAAACTTATCAGGCTTCGGTGGCCATTGAAAATGTGCCACGTGATCGGTATAAAGTCGATACATTACCTAATGACTTCAGTGCTGTGGCAGTTTGAAAAAATATATTATGCGGCATTGAGGTATTTTTTATTGCTAAACGTAGCAATACGGTCAATGTCGCTATGAATTTATACTTTGGGCCCCATAATAACCAAACAAACAAGAAAGCTAGGGCAATTTTTTTTTAAATATTACTATTTTAATAATTATTAATGAAAACATAGTTGTTTTGAGACTAAATACAGATCTATTGCACTAAGTCACCCCCACACGCCCTGCATCGGACGTGACCTAAGAGAGAGACATGCCCTGCATGGGACATGAGTTATGAGAAGAGAAGAGAGACACACCCCAAGCTGGGCATGAGTCAGGCAAGAGTATTGAAAAAATTGTTGCTTATTTCTTTTCTCGGTTCTTCAACCACCTTTTCCTTGCAGAAACCCTCTACTAGACCTACAAAAGTTGTCACGTTTGGAGAATGACCTGCTTCTAACATCTCCACACAACATTCAAAAGTATCATGTAATCTGCTACATTCATAAGAGTCCTTGTATAAGCACAGTGTAATTGACAGCATTGGGTGAAATGCCATTACTCTGCATTTTCCTGAAAATCCTTTCGGCATTGATGGGCCTTAGTGAAGCCCTCCACTACAGCTGTGTACAGGACAACCCCAGGAACGGTTCCCTTCTTCTGCACGAAACCAAAAAATTTTAAGGCTTCTTAAAAAAGACCATTACATAAACCATCAAGCATAGCCACATCATTAGGGAGGAAACTGAAGAACTTATCACTTTCTTCCTGCTTATCTAAGACGTTCTTCCCTCAGCATCTTGAAGAAATTATCAGATTTTTCCTTCATCTTGCAGTACACATCAAAATCTAGAGGCTCATATTCTGGATGTGGCAGGTTGGGATTTGACCTCTTTGCTTCTTCAGATTGGTTGTTGCTGGCTGCAACTTCTGAGGGATTTAATGTTTTATTATCAAAGCCAAGCTTGAATTTATCAAGGAAACCATCTTCTAATTGACTGACATCCTTACTTGTTTCTATCATATTTCTGCCCTGAAATCCGAGAAAAAAAATCAACAATTTTTTAGTTCTCTTGCCTGACTCACACCCAAGTTGGGGCGTGTCTCTCTCCTTACTCATGCCCGGCTTGGAGCATATCTCTCTCCTCTTGACTCATGTTACATGCAGAGCGTGTCTCTCTCTCTTATCACGCCACATGTAGGGCGTGAGTGACCACGCCTAATTTTGGACGCGACTGAATGCAATAAATCCATATTTAGTTTCAAAATAATTATGTTTTAGTAAATAATTATTAAAACAGTAATCTTTTTTTTTCCCAAAAAGCTAGGGCTATCTTAATGAAAATGTGAAAATTTGACCAGCCACTTGTAACAGTGCCTTCTGCCAAATGGTCCCGCTTGGAAGACAGCAGTTTGAATTTTGAAAATGGTCCTTCGCTCACGTGCTCTTTCTATTTTTACATCGCAAATTCTCTGCAACACAAGCATCCAATTCCTCCAATTTCTGAAGTGAATTAATTAACAACGGTGCTACCACAATATGAACGTATTCTAAGTTCGAACACGGGGACAAAATAGCTCAAATTCACACAAAGGAAAAACATTAATACATACTGAACCCTCAGCCTCCGGCACTTCACATAAGGACTCTTGTTTTTGCTTTTCCTCCTACCTTAAGTTAATTGCTTGAAGATGGATCAACTTTTGTCAATAATGCTCAAACATTTAATAGCATAATGATTTACAAGTGATGGTTGAGGAAAAGAGAAGATCCCCGAAGGAAAAAAGCACTAACACATACAACTGATGATGTCACTGTCCAACGCAGAATTTTGATCTGAGGTTGTCCAGAATCTCTGCATACTCCATTGGAGTTGCCTCACTACAGAATACTTCATCCCAGATCTTGCGTAAGTCTGCACGAAAATGTAACCAACTAAATCAAATCAGATTAACAACTCTGGAAACATTAGCGTTACTAGCACCACCACCAAAAAGGAACACTTCATTTTGTTTGTAAATAACTAAGCAACTAAGAGTTATACCAAGAAAAAGTAATAATTAATTTAAGCATCACAAAACAAAATTCATCATGCACAAGATGCAAAGCCATGAGTTTCTCCCACTCAACAGGCTAGTTTTGGGGTTAAACTCTCCTCATGAGGTTGAGTTTTAACAATGAACATGCAGGAAAATTATTTCAGATAGGATATCAAATCTCACGTGATTAATGTTAAGGATGCAATTTGTATTGTACAAGGATGATGGGTTATAATGTGTTCATTTAATTCTTGACTCCTTATTGTCTTGTAAAAGGACATCCAAACTTCAATGACTTATTTATATTATTTATTAAGGTTATTTACTACCGGAATCCACCAGTTTACTTTCTTCCGTTTATCTTTATTTTTTTGGTGGGGTGGGGAGACCAGAGGTTAAAAGGTCCAACTATATTGCAAGCATATGACTGCTTTTACTTAAAACTTTGATAGGTACCGAAGAAATGTACTGGTCAACCACGCGTATCCACAAGAAGTTTGGCTTGTCCGAGTCATAAACTATCATAAGTTGTCTGATTAAAATTACAGAATTTTGTGCTGCATATGTATAGAAGGTGAAACTAATCTCGTGACCTAGTTGTCAGAGGTTCTAGTTGCTGAAAGCCTGAAACAATCTTTCCAACCACAGGTAAAGGGATGGGTACAGCTAACCCTCCTCAAACTCCACAATAGTGGTGGCTACATGCAATGGGCTGACCTTTTCTTTTTCCTGCCAGAAAAGATATTACACATTTTGTATCTTCATCTAATAGGGCCAGAGAATAGTTAGTTAGAATAGTTAGGCAGTTGAAGATAAAGAGTTAGGGAATTAGCTAAAATAGGAGGAGAGAGTAGTAAAAGGGTGGGAGTTAGCATTGGCTCTGACGCTCTGTAGTACCCTTGGAAGGAGAATTCTTTCCTTGCGTCTCATGTTTGTAATTCAACAAACACTACAAAAATATTCTTTCCCTTTTCATTACTATGTTATTCTCGTCTCTCTCTCTCTCTCTCTCTCTCTCTCTCTCTCTCAAAACTTAGAATTTGTTTTTGGATTCCTAACAATTTAGTCAGACCTGCCAGATCCAGATTGTGGGAGATGGAATCACGGGTGGAAATTCCGAGAAAGGTGGCCAGCAAGGAAGGGTCTCAACTATCAGAAATCAAGAAAGCGGTCAAGGGAATCAAAGAGATCAAGCAGCTGCTTGGAAGGTGTAAGCAGAAACAAGACACTGAGTTGGAGGAGGAGGCACAAATGAGCAACCTGTTCATGAGGAGGTTTGTCCCTATTGAACCAAGAATGGAGAGGAGAACATGGAGGGGATGGGGTCATAACACGGTGGAGCATAGGCTCATTCTTGGGAGATGGCAGTACTGAGGGGTAATCCCAAAGGGACTGACAAGTTTAAGTGCTGGATCAAGAACTAGAAGCAGAACAGTTCAATGGATTAGGGAAGGAGGTTGAGACGAGGAGATCATTGAATTCCTAGGGGTCTGAAAAGGAGCTCAATTTTTTTGGATGAAGACCACCATATGGGTAGCATAATGGTGAGATGAATGCAGTCACATCAGGGTGACAAATAGAGGATGACCAAGAGAATGTTAAGTACCCAGGGTGTTGCACAGGAGTTGAAAGGGACAGAAGTGCCCTGCAATGGCTATTGTTGAGATATATAAAACCATTAAAAAGTCCTCACCCATCAGCTTAAGCTTTTGGGTTGAATTGGTTCTTTACATGGTATCAGAGCCTCGTGTCCCGGGTTCAAATCTCACCGCCCCCCACTTTCTTTCTAGTGGAATTTTTTTCTTCGCACAAGTAGCTGGGCCTGTGCATTGTCCACCCTTCAAGTCCAGTGGGCTCTTGTGTGAGGGGGCGTGTTGAGATATACAAAACCATTAAAAAGTCCTCACGCACCGGCTTAAGCTTTTGGGTTGAATTGGTTCTTTGCAGCTATAAAACTATGGATTTTGAAAATTCCAGTCAGCCCACAGTCACCGCCTGAACCACCGGACACGGATTTTTCCATGTAGGCAGATGGATCTTTAGTAGTGAACTCTCACATGTCAGCTAGCAATAATAGAGCCAGGGAGTAATTAGCTAGAATATTTAGATAGTTAAGAGTTGTAAAGGTAGGGAATTAGCTTAAAAGGGAGGAGAGGGTGGAAGAGTGGGGATTCTGATTTGTTATCATTTGGGAACTAAGCATTAGCTCTATTGTAGAAAGGGAGAACCCCTTGTCAAGGGGGAACCCTAAGAAGGGGAATTCTCTCCTTAGGTCTCTGTTGTAAGTCAATAAACAGTAAACACTATAGAAGTGTTCTTTCTCTTTTCATTTGTCTGTTTTTCTCATCTATCTCCCTGAAAACTCAGAATCCATTTATAGGTTCCTAATATCATCCCTTTCTGGGTTTGGTTGATTGGGTAACATAGGGTGCTGAATGAGCAAAGCACCCACCAATATTCACTTTACTTTTGACACTATTTGACTATACAGAATCAAGGCTATATGCCTTCTTAATTCAGGAATTTCTGTAATAAATGCCTTTTGGCCGTAAGAAAGAATTGATAAAACACTTAATCAATGCAATTAGAAAGGAAACATAGAAAATGTTAACATTCTTACACATTAGATTTCATTTTCTAATCGGAGACCCTTATTCCTGCTTCTCTTTCCTCTTTCTTATCCCTTTCTTCTACCTTAATGCGTTTATCTTCTAACTTTCAAGAGATTTCAAATAGTGTGGCAACAGAAACGCTTAGAATTTCACTACTTCAAAAATACATACCATCCTTATCTGTTGATGGAAGGCACATTACAATCATGTCAAATCTCGGTACCTTGGTCAAATGTTCCATATAACTGACAACCAGATCCTTTTCTTCACTGCCAAAAGAGGAAATTTGCTATCATGTTTGAAGCTCAAACAGCAATAAAAACAAAAAAATGCTTTTTTGAGATAATAACTTACGCGAAAAAGGATGCAACACACTTTATGATGTCAATTAGCAAGGTAGAAGATAAGGCATTTTTGAATATCTTCGGCAATTCATGGGGAGGTATGGCCTATCATGCAAGAAGCAAAATGGTTTATTACAACACGAAGCAGACCACAGATCACCATAAATTCAACATAAAAGAGCCATCTCTTGTTCTTGTCAAGTATGATTGCAATCGACAATATAATCAAATCACAAATGCACAACAAAGTTCAATACCTTTATTAGACAAGCCTGCAAAGCACGATCACCTGAAAACCCTCTCCAAGAGACCTCAAATTGATAAGCTGTGGTTGGTGGTGTTATGTTCTTTGCAGCTTCAATCATGGCTCGAGAAGCCGCACGAGAAGCAAGCTGTTGAACAGATGCTTTCATTTCCTGCTTACTAATTATGTGATTTCTCTGTAAAAAATACAAGACAATAAAATCATGTAAAACAGGAATATGAATAGAATAGGAAAAATCACTAATATCCAAAGTGAAAAAGTACAATCAAAACAATATAAAAATAATTGCAAAAATATCATTTTAAGATATATAATTTAAAAAGCTCGAAAAACATGAAATTTAGTTTATTCCAACTACTGAGTAAAAATAAACAAGAAAAAAGAAATGCACAGGTAATTTTAACAGAGAACCAAATGAATGCAATGTGGATGATTCAAATTTAAATACGAACTCGTGAAAAGCACATAAAAAATATATCCGTATTCTTCTACACGCAAGGAAAAAAAATGCTTCTAAACAGAACTAGAATATGCACTCGAACTAGGTCAATTTAGAAGATGAGGCACGGGATTTAAGATAAACCTTAACCTGCTCCATACTATTGCTTGCACTAGAACCATCCCCTTCTTGTCCTTGAGTCCTGCTTCCGGCTTTTGTATCCCTGCTATCAACCTCCTCCATTAAGAGTGATTCTTTAGAAGGAATTTGCCACTCATTACACTGTCAACATAATCAAACTTCAGGCTGGACAATATTTACATGTAAAACTCCGAACAAAGTAATCCCCAATTTGTCTCAATCCAAGAACATTAAGATATATTTGAAAAGTGATGTTATAAACTCTTATTGCCTGTACCTTTGTTTGATGACCTTCAGCAGGCCCTGACTTTTGAGCATCATGTGAAACAGGGTGGATGCTACCTTCATTAACTTTTGTCTCTGACTCTCCCACTTTTTGAGTTCCCTGTACAGTGCCTCTAAGAGCTCCAGATGCTTTCTGAAGAATAGCCTGGACAATTGGCACAGGGATATTAAAAATAATGAATATCTGAAACAGAGAAGTGAGAAAGAAAAAGTAGACACAAAACCAGAGTAGTTAATAGTGTGCTATAGCAGCATAGCGAGGATGACCGTGAAGGAAGTGGCATCATGTCGCGTTTATCTAGAGTGGCAATAGAGGCCAGAATCATGGGCAGATAGCAGACAAAACAATTAAATCCCTGTTTAACTCACTTTTCGTTCAACCAGCCCTCGGTTTTTTAAGGTGGTTTTTTAAATTTAATTTGTTTTCCCCCATGAGAATGAAAATAGGGTTCAAAACCCTTCATTCTTTGAAAAATGACACACTAGGCTGCTGCTCTGTTCCTTTGCAGAACCCTTCATTCTTTCAAAACCCTTCATTTTTTGTTAGTCTACTCCTTCTTCCAAACTCTGTTCATAGTTCATACTCCTGGATCTACCCTTTTTTTTGCTGCAACTTCTTCCATGATTCCATCCAGTGTTTCTCTTTGCTGTGATAAACATCCTCTTTTCTGTCTCTTTTTGCTGTTGATTATTAATTTCAGTCCCTCTTTGGTGCAGGCATGGCTTCATCTTAGTTTCAATCAGCTCAACAGAGCACCTCAACCTAGCCTCAGTCTCTTCTCTTTGTTTTTGACTTGTTAATTATGTCTTAGGTTGATGGTGATTATGTGTCTAGACTGTGACTTTTGACTGTTAATAATGATATGTCTTTAATTTGGGGTATTTTTTTATTTTTAAGCATTTATATGTGTAGTATAAATTACACAATTTTTTCCATTATCTTCAGCATAGCAGCCATCCCGCTATAACATTTTTGGGGTCAACCACTCCGTGCTGCTCTCCAGAGCAGACAACTAAGCACAGAACTATTTTTACAAAATGTATCCAAATGTTAGGAACTGGCCACATGAACCTTTAGCCAAAACTATTAAAAATTTCGTAGTGAATTTCTATTAGAGTGCACCTTAATTTCTCATGATATTATGATATTATGGACACATCAGCCTCAACATTCAAATATATACTCATTCACAGTTTAACAATTTGCTTGTTTATTTATTCTTAATAAACCAAGTATAGTGTCACAGATTCAATTAACACATCTACCATACTCATTTTCTTACTAATATCCTAAGAGTTCATGCCATGAGGCCATAATACACGCTGAAAAACTGCAGACTTCAAAATTCACCCTTTTCCTTAAATGGTTTATTTCAGTCATGGAAAACAATTATATCTGCTACTCCTTTTCATGCAGCAACTTTTTTCTATAAGATTCTTCCTCTACAGTCTTATCATTTTCAACAATCGACCCCACCCCGAAAACGCTACTCGAGTATCTTAGGCAAAGTCTTGATAACATTATAATTATTTATTCAGTCCTAATTTGATTAAAAATAAGGCCTTTAACACATCCACCCATTTGATTTTGTATTACACCTTTTAACGCATCTCTTTATTACTATTAGATCTACTTTGCTGCAGGTGCATACATTGGTGTACCAAGGTTTGAACCTAATATTTCCATGCAACCCTAAAAAGCATCCCTTACTGCATTGTTCATGGCCTACATGGCTATGAAAAATGGAAGAGACTAATATATTTAATTAATTAATTTCGTGAATTTAGTAGTAGTCATATAACAATAACAGAAAGAACATTGATGTGCTCACTTTCTCAAACAAAGTCTTAGCATCAGCATACTGTTTCTTGATTTCTTGATTGTTAGGTTCCAACCTCAAGGCAAACTCAGCATCTGCAATTAAGCAAATAAGATAGTCAACAAATTCCAATATCAGAATGTCTTAGTGTTTAGATAATGGACAAGTATATGGCTTGGGTATTCACCCACCCTCCATGGATTCTTTAATTTTCCCAAGTTCTTTTCTAGCTGTTGCTCGGCGTGAGTATGCTTTTATGTAACGATCATCAAGATTTAAGGCCTCTGTACAGTCATCCTCTGCCTCTTGGAATCTACTGACACAAATAGGGGGGAAAGAAACATATCACCGTCAGGAAGAGAAGTGCTCTTCAAGAGCATCAGTCAAGTCATAGACCAATTAACACTTGACAGTAAATGTAAAAATTACTTTCTTTTATTTAGAATATCGATAATGACAAAATCTACTATTTTGTGAATTTTTTTATGAGTAAGCTATGATTCTTTAAAGACAAAACGTAAAACATAGGCTTGCCTTCTGAGCTTGATATAGGCCATTGCCCTATTTGCATATGCTACCGCTGTTGGTGACAAGGCAATGCTCCTTGAATAGCAGTTGATAGCTTCCTTAAACTTCTTCTGCTTGAAAAACTCATTACCCTGGAATATACATGTGGATTGCAGTATCAGCATCACACAAGACAGCAACACTAAAATCAATCCATAATATCCCAAGAGATCAACATTCCCCTGCCCTGTGTCACCCCAAGACCAAGACGGGAAGTAAAAAAACAAAAAAAACTCCTACCAGATCTTTCTCAGAAGCAGCATCAGGAACATCTTCGGGAACAAAACTACTATGCACACGACCAAATGGATCATTATTTCTTGAGAAATCATACTGTCCTGAAGAACTTCTTGCCTGATCAAAAGAAATAGTATCTGCTCTTGAAGCCTTCTCCACACCCACTGATCCAGTATTCCGAGAAGATGAACCCTTTGAATTGCCATCAGAATATTATTCATCACAAATATATTAATTCATCCGCACATACACAGGCACATACATACATACTACAGGCAATATGTTCAAGAAAAAGGGGTTAACTAATATACTGATTTTGTTTTCATTTTTTAAAATTTTTACTGATTTCAAAAAGTATAATCACAAAGTTTACTTTTCCTCTGTACTATAATAGTGAGAAAAAAAATGTAACAGGTTAACTAATATCCTTATAAAAAAGAAGAAAATCTGCACAAATTACAAAACAGCATCACCAAACACAACCATTTGAAAATTGGAGGAATTAGTCAAACACCCGCAAAAATTAAAAAATCCACACTGTGCAACATATAGAGGCTGAATTGAAGAGTCTAATGACTGTTGAAGTTTACTCAAAAGGTAGACACGAAGTTGCATAGCAAGTTTTGAAGGGTAAGATAAAATTACCAACATTTTCCTTTCGTGACTTCATTTTTCGTGCTTTGTCCTTTCGAGAAAGTTCCCAATCCTGCAAGTCGTTTAAGAATCCCTGGAAATCCTGTTAATGAGAAAAAAAAAAATCAATGAGAAGCAAAAAAAATAATTAAAATTGGGCAAATCCCAGCTCAAATGGCACCATGAGGAATCGATTATACCATCCTGTGTTGGGAAGTGCCCTTCACTCAACAGAGAAACAACGGTAACAGCAATAGGCCATAGCAAGTGAAACGAAGTTGGTAGTGAACCCTTGAAAAGAACTTTCGCGAACAGCTATGGTTATGAATGGGCCAGCCCATGAGCCCAAACTTTTAGATTGTGGCCAAATATTTTGTTTGCTGTTTGCTAAAGGCCTGGCCCTGACAAAATAAATAAAAATAAAAAGAAGAAGGCAAAATTTAGAGAAAAAAAATCATATTTAACTTATTTTGATCTGGAAAAAAAATATTTTAGTTGACACATGTGCTTTTCCATTTTCCCCCGTGAACGTAATTCAATTCATAAAAAAATTTGAATACATTTAATTATTTTTAAATGAATTTGAGTAGTCAGTTACCACTTTTTTCTTATAAATCATCTGTATCCATTGTCGAATTTTTTTTTAATACTACGGATGCATCAAAATTTGAGTGCATCTTTCACTCACAATGTGATATGTGTCTTACTTTTTATTAAATTATTCTCTCACCTGATTTTAAAATGAATTATTTATCAATTATTTTATAAAAGTAAGACACATATCACGTTGTGAGTGAAAGATGCACCAAAAACTCAGTGAATCCATAACATTAAAGATGTTCTCCCCATCATCAATAGGTGCCAATTAACTCATATTGGAGGCAGGTAGTACCATAAAGATAGCAAAGTTCATCCCACCAAATTTTAGTACAATTGTATACTCAAAATTCAAACTCGAGATCACTAATTAAGCTTAAACAATTATCCTCGTTCTTGGTGAGAAATGACACAATCAATAGTAGCCAATAGAAACATGATGGAAAGAGGAATATAAGATAGCGTGGAGGAAAAAATTGTATTAAGTGATAATAGTTGATTCAATTTTATCTAACAAAAATAAAATAAGTAATAAAAGGTATTAAATTTATTTGATAGTAAAAATGGAGGTTATACGTACTTTTTTTTTTCTTATCACCTCTTATAATTAATTTTGTTATTATTTGATCAAAATTAAATCAATGGTTACAAAGTGAGAACATTAATTTGATTTTGATGCAATTATAACAAAACCTATTGCATTAAAAAATATAATTTTAAAGAGCACAAGGGATAAAGAAAGAATAAAAAGTGGTAAATGATGCCTTTTGGGTTGGGCTTGAAAGCATGTGAGTTCAAGGGATGAGTTTAGGCCCATGGGGTTTGATAGTTCTAAGACGATTCACACCTCACTGAGAAAAGAAAAGACTGAAAATGAGGGGGGGCCTGCCCTCACGGCACTGGGCAGTGTAGGATCGTGGATGACGGGAGCAAGTTCTGTAGTCTGTATAAAGGAGGTGCAGTGGTCTTGTCAACATGATTGCCACTGTGTTTTCCTTTCAATTCTAGTGTGTTTATGTTTAGGTGAAGCATCTCCCTTTCCTCTCATCCACGCTTTCACACCTCAGGGCCCCTTTCTTTTCATTTACTTTCTTTTTCATGTTCATTCACCCCCACTCAATCTTAAAAAAAAAAAAAAAAAAAAAAAACTCACAATGTATCAATCACTCACACATTCAATCAATCACCCATCACACCCCTCTTTCCATTCACTCAATTCCACCACCACTTTTAAATAATTCATTACTTTTCATCTTTTTTATTATTTAATATCTTTCCTTTTAAGTAATTAAAATAATATATTAAAAACATAAATAAGATTTTTAATATTTTTCTTTATCATATATTATCCCATACCTTACCTTGAACATGACCCCAATAATTCCATCGTCCTAAATTTATAGCTCAAAAAAAAATCATAAGAGATGTAGTTAGTTATTAGCATTTTTATTAAGAATATTTAGTGATAGATTAGAGCCTAATAATTTTATCTTGCAGCATACATAGAAATCTTTCCACGTGTAACTATACATACTGACCCAGCTTGGCCCAATTGTATCCCATGCGGGCCCATGTCTACATTCCAATTACAGTGCAAAATTCCAATATTTGATTAGTTTAGGAGTCTGATTAGAAGACACAACGGCAGCGTCGCGCGGAATGCACGGGGGGAAATTTTCTGTTGTGTGAATCCGTAACTGTGAGGCCCACTATCTTAAAATCCTTCGTACCACGACTCTGACTCTGCAGTGTTTACAATAGAACGAGATTCACTGCTACTACTCTCACTGTTACCATAGAATATCACTTCATCAATTTATTATGTCTTAGTATTATAAAATTTTAATCAAACAGGTGATAATTTAGTTGGTGCATGAGAGTTAAACAGGTAAGAATGAGAGCATATGTTCGAATCTCTCCAGTAATTTGAAGTCTTAATCCTGAACACCCTCCGAATCAGATTAGTTATGAAACAATGAACGGATTGAAATATTTTAAAAAAAAATAAAAGAAATTTAAGAGAGAGAGAGAAGAGAATCAATCAACCGGCACATGTGCAATATGTGGTGTGCATGTATGTTCTGTACCTTTCCCTTTGCACCACGTCGTGGATTTTACTGTTTAAGTTGACACTTGACACTTGACACATGACACTCTATTTTATCTTTTACTTTTAACCACTATGTCTATACCCTACAGCAAGCATCAGCACGTGACTATTTTCAACTGTTTAAGCCTCCACTTGTACTGATAGGCAACATCGCTTGAAAAATAAAATAATAGTTGAAGTGAACGTAACCAAAGGAGATATGCACTTCCTATGACATAACATAAGAGATAGCACCTATTTTGAATTAAGCTAGGATCATGTTCATCATGCCTCAAACTCTGAAGAACAATAATCAAGGAACTGAAGCCACTCAAAGGCATCCTGAAGACACAACGAAACAAGTGAAGAGATACACAAGTTGTATAACTAAATTCTGTTATATGCTGAATCCCTTCCACGTTCTTTCGTTTTTCTACGATTTTTCTTGCTTAAACACTCTTCAGAGACTACAGATTGTTGTTTAATGACATCAGAAACAGAAAGTTGGATAAATAAGTTATAGTAGCATAAGAAACAGTGCTTCTTGGACTTCACCTGTCACTGTCATAAATAACTACATAAGCAAAAATTATCTTTAAATCAGCTATAATTGGTGAAATTCGCTTTAACATTTGTACTACTATTTTCTTTAGAGAAACTGTGTTGAGCAACTGTATGTTACTGTAACGTCCTTGTAAGTTGTAATCACGAAATTATTGTTTCAATGAATGAAGGTGGGAGAACTTGTACCATATGGTTAAATAATGAAAGTCTCAAATAGTGCTTGCGTCAAATTTATCAAAGTGGTTGATTGTATTTTGTGTTTAAACTGAAAATTTTGTAGTAATTGTAAAAACAGATCACCAATTGGTATTAATATTTCAATTGCTGCTAAATTTAAACCACCTCAAGGGCAACTTGAATATTATTTGTGAAATCATCCAAACATTAGACCACTAGCAGGAAAATATCTTGTTAATGCATAATCAAACATTGTATGGTAAGCACTAAGCAAACAGGAATTATGAAAAGTGAAAGTAAAATATTACACAACTTATGGTTGATACCAGAAATACATAACCACTTAAAAGTGCAATGGATTATTTCCAAAATTTACATGAACTTTATTAGCCCTCCTCAATAATTCACCTTAGGATCAAGCCTGGTTGCCACTAGCAGGCCCTCCAAGTGTCAAAACCAACCCTTGAAGGTCACCCCTGATTTTATGCTCTTTGGCTAAAGACGCAGTAGTGCCTCTCATGATTGGAGATGGTCGAGCCATAAGAGGTTGCCGGAAGCCATGGCATTTCTCTGCACGCGGACAAGTAGTTACTTGCTGGGAATCCCTCAAATAATCCACGTGATTTGAGTTCATGGATGGTTGAGCGGAGGGAAATGAACATGATAAAGAACAATTTGGCTCAACACTGGTGGAGACTACTCCTGCTCCCTGATACATTTGTTTGTTACATAAACTGTGTGGTTACAGCACTTGCACTATAATAAAAATGTGATATATTATGGTGGCAAAGTTCAAAAGCTTACTGGTGCAAATAAGACCCCTCTGAAAATTCTCCCATTCACAGATGCAGTCATCAGCAAACCTGAATCAAAGGCACCATCTACTTTCCCTCTAACTTCAGCACCAACCTAGGATTCAAAGTCCACAGTGAAATAATAAGTAACTAAGAATCAAAAAATGGTTAAAAAAAAAACTTCAGCAGAGTGGAATTCTAAAATTTGAAAGCAAAGGATCCACCAGGTGCTGGTGCTTCTGCTCTATAGCTTGGTGTGGAGCTCCTTTTCTATCCTCATCAACATGAATATACTGTTCTTGTTTTGGTTGTTCTTCAAGGAGAAGAAGATCTTGTTGACTTCTTTGTGTGATATTCTTCCAAACTCTCCTGTTACTTGAGACATTGTCAAGTTGGCCATTGCTTGGAATTTTGTTAATCTGTTTGAACCGATGATACCGCTGAGAATCCATGACAGAAGCATTGGCTTTTTGACCTGGGGTTTGTTCTTGATCAGATTGAGATGGAGATGAATGCTGGGACAGTGAAAGAGAATGTTCTTCTTGTTCTGATTCAACATCCCACACCTTTGCAGCCGCAATTCTCCTCCTCTTCTGTCGTGAAGTACCTGCATAGAATTTCAATTTTTCACTAAATTTCTCCTTTTGCACATAAAACTGAAGTTAAGAAGTTCTAACTCACCTGAATCACAAAAATAAGGTTGAGCTTTTTCAGATACAACTTCATAAGCGCATTTTCCTAAAACTTCCATATTCTTCCCCATAAGTGGAGTTTTCTGCTACAAAAACATTGTTAGTTTTTTATCTTTTAATTATATGAACAAGTAGTTATAACAACATTGCTATATGAACTTTTGTACCAAGTTGATATCTGCTCCTCCTGGGATTACCCTCTTTTCTTGATTACAATAAGTTCCAAAAACCTTGCACATGGAAATGTTGTAACGTCCATTTGGATGCTCTGCTCCAAGCTGCAATACTAACAATTCATTCAGAGGACGCTCATCTTCCCCACACCTGCTATAAGACAAAATAAAGTTACCATAATGAAAATTTTATAAGCTGAAGGAAATAGAAAACGAAATGAGCATTGTTGGGACATTGATTAAGAAAGAGTGAGCAGTTAATTTGACAAGAACCAACCCGCCATATATGACAATATCCATGTCTGTAACAACAGCTGTATGAGAAAACCGCCCCTGTGGCTGTTGACCACGTATATCAAGTTGAGTCCACGAACAAGTGCAGATATCAAAGACCCATATATCATTATAATAACGTTTATCTCCAACCCCTCCAATGATGTAGACCTGTAAATCATGAAAGAGTTCATATACTTAGTTCATAACTTTTCAAAAAATAGTACCATATATTAAGTAATGATCATCAAGTCCTGATGAAACTAATTAGAGAACTCGCCTTGGTTCCAATATTCACTGCAGTATGACCAGCCCTGACACCTGGTGAAGAACCTTGAATTTTCAACTGTCATTAAAATGCAAATAAAACCATTACTTAAGTCCCATATAATTGAAATATCAATATGATCAGAAAGAATTAGAGAAGACCATACATACATTTGACCAAGTCATTGTTTCCAAATCAAGCATATTAACATCACCATGATACTGATCACCACAATCTCCACCATACACAATAAGTTTGTTCCCAATTGCAAGAGTACTGTGACTGTCCCTTGGCACAGGCAAATCACCTTTGACCTCAGGAGAACTCCATCTCATGGTTCGAAGGTCTAGAATATGCAAATCATTTAAATAGTTTGCTTCACCTTCACCACTACCACCAAAAATCACTAATCTTTCATCACCAACGAGAGTGGCAGTATGACTTTCCCTTGGAGAAGGAGGAATCCCTTCACATTTAAGACGAACCCATTCTTTGGTGATGAGATCCAGTATGTGAGTGTCATTCACCTTCATGAACCCATTTGTTCCACCAAACACTATCATCTTATGCCCTACAAGAACAGCACTATGGCTATCTCTAGGTCCTGGCTTTTCACCCGTGGTAACAAGCTTGCACCAATCCATTTTGTCAAGGTCCAAACACAAAACATCGCTGAAATGCAGTCCCCCACAACAGCCCTGAAATGAGTAGAGACACACAACAAATTTAAAGCTAACCATAATTAGTAAAAAATACAGAAAATTTTCAAAAATACACGTGTGAAGCATTACAAAGGAAATGAGATTTATGTTCATGCATTTTCTCAATAGCTACTAAACTATTACCATCATCTTGTTATCTAAGAATTTATTTTAAGAGATAAAGAAAGAAGTTGTTAATTTCTTTAAGGTTAATTGTGTGTGCTCAACAAGATAAAATGAGAGTTTTGCAATAACTAAAATCTTTTTTTATCAAAAGAGAGTGAAGTGACAGCAAATTAAGTAATGAACTAAGGTAGAGATTCTCGTGTTACAAAGACATGTTTCTTTTTTTAAGTGCATGTTTTTTTAAATTGAGAAACATGAAGCAGGGAGGAGAAGAACGAAAATATGAATATTGCTATATTAAGAAAGCAGAAAGATGATATTCACCCAAACACATATTGTCCCACTAATTAAAGAAAGAAAAATGAATTCAGTTAATTGTCTCTAAGAAATATGTGTGATAGGAGAAATTAGGAAAAAACTAAAATTCAGAGAAGAAAGTGTTTTGGTCATTAACTAAAGATAGCTATAAACCAGAGAAGTTGAGAAAAAAGTACTAGGAACTTGTGAAATTCCCAGGAGACCAGAACTCCAAAGAAGTAAAACTAATGAGAAGTTCAGACATCATTAATGAAGATAATCAAGTAACAAGCACTTTAAGAGTCTTTACATAGGATTCAGAAACTACTTAAAAGTAAGTACTAGGAAGAAAAAAAAACTTGTTTATATTTTTCATTAAATAAAAAGGATTATATTCATACCCCAAAGACATACATAAGCCCCCCAGAGAAGCAAGCAGTGTGACCCCATCTTTCAGAAGGATTAAAACCCAAAACCTTTGGATACAACCACATTGCTTTCTTCTTCGCTGTTTCAGCAACCAAAGACCACATCTTTCTAAAAAAGCTTTTTTTTTTATACTCTCTCTCTCTCTAACTCTTTGTGTGGCGAGTATGTTTAAACTTTGAAGTATTACTTGAACACAGTGCTTGACAACGATGAAGAAACAGGGTGAAGAGTACTAGAGAAAGAGAGAGTCAAAAGAGGACATCAACCAGCCAAGTGATGTATCAACTATCAATATCAATAGACATGAAAAGATGGGCGCTTTCAAGTCCAAATCACTGGCAACCAACAGCAACAGATAGTTGTTGTGAAAACAACATTATTATTATTTTTTTCTTTCCCTCCATATTAAACTTTTAAAATTTCTTATAAAATGTTACATCATTTACATTGCATGGTGTTGTAACCGATAACAATTTATTATGTAAATAAATGAAGAATGCCGGTTCTTAATATTGACATGATAGGATAGGACCAGTATACATCATCATATATATAAACATACTTTTTTTTTTTTTAGTACCATATATATAAACATACTGAGACACTAATGTTACACTAGAAACATACTATGAACTGCTTGGTTGGATAAGCTCGACGAACATTAACTAGTGATGTAAAATCATGGAATGTGACTGTTGAAGGGAAAGAGAGAGAGTATTTTACGTAAGTTCATTTTTTTTTGAAATACCAAAAGGATTTCTGGGAGGGATTACATATCATTTACCAACAAAGTTTATTTTTTTTTGTAAGGATTAATATTTTTTATATTTTAAAAGATAATTTTATCTTCTATACATATACAATAATATGTGGGATCCACATTTTTTTTATTCTCTATTTTCTTTGCATGATCTCACATGGGTGTCATACGGAAGTGAGTCTTCTCATATGAAATAGTGATCATATTATTTGATCATAACCACTCATTGATGATGAGATAAGAGAAAAAAATATATATAATTTTTCAATGAATGATTATGATCAAATAACACAACTACATAGTCAATTTGTTCACTTGAGAAAATCCACTCTCGTGTCATACACTTTTGTGTATATAATAAAAGGATAATATTTTTTTTCTTTTACATGATACAATCAATTTTCCTAAACAAACATAAAAGTGGACCCATCAATTCTTTTACTTTTTCTTTATTTTAAAAATAGTGGACCCCACAATTAATTGTTTCTATGACATGACCTAAGAATTTTCCTACAACATGATATTTGTTTTTTACATAATAAAATTATTTCCCACGAGAAATAAAAAAAAAAAAAAATTGTACGTTGGTTTCTTGCTTTTCATACTTTATCAAAATGAAAATGATGGAGTGTGGGGGCATTTGGGTTGTTGGAAATGATGAGGAAGCAGTTTTGGGTTTGAGGTCCTTTGCCACATGATAGTATAGCTAGGTTAGACAGGGAAATTCAGTTTCCAAAACAAACATGGGTTTTTTTTTCTTCTTATAATTAATATGATATAGGGATTGATGGAGGGTGAAGCCTTTAATATTTTTTTCCCTGTTTGATCTTCTATCCCGTTCACCCGAGTCTCGAGTGGGATGTAGATCTAGAAATGTCTATTTTCAAGGTTCTTTGGGGAAATGTGGTGCTTTGTGTTGTGGAAATTCTTTTAAGTTTTGGGAATTGGGATGGTGCTGTTTACCTCAAAAAGACCGAGTGATTTTTTTAATCTGGTTTTATAAAGAAAATAAAAAACAACTCTAATTAGGATTTTGTTGTTTAGGGTTTAGGAAAGTCGAGAAAGGAGCACTAAGACAAATAAGGCAAACTATATTGGAAATGGAGATTAGTTTTTCCTTAGAAAAAATGTCATGATTCGAAAAATACCATGTTTGATAGAATTATTTCTTTTTAACCTTTTGTTTGGGTCTTTGGCTCCGCTTTCAAGCATTAAAAAAATAAATAAATAAAGTTTGAGTGATAAAAAAATTTATTTGAATAAATATTTTTGAATAGGTTAAATGATGCGAATATATATATATATATATATATATATATATATATTAAATTGAGGATTTAGTGTTTATTTTATAATAGAAGATAATTTATTTCTGTGATCACAAAACTATATTATTTTTGGATTGAGAGAAAAAAATTTATAATTCTAATTTATTTTATGAATTAGAATAGACACAAGTTCAATTATACAAAACCATAAGGTATAAAGTCCACTAATTAGTTCTGCGTAAAATATAGTGTTTTATCTCTTTTAACATTACATTATTTTGTTATTCATTTGCAAAAGAGAATATAGATATCTCAAGTTATTTTAGATGTAAAATTATAAAAGACATAATTTATATATGAAGAACATTACTCTTTCGTTATTTTTGGTTATAGAATACAATTAACATACAGAAATAAGATGGTTAGTATGTGGGCAACAGTTTTCATGTGAGTAACCTAACTGGGCAATTAACTAATGGGAATATTATATCTTACATGAGATAATTTATCTTGTATAACACATAAAAAAATAAGTAAAATCCACTTATTTTTTTCTCTCTCCTTCTTAATGACTCTATAATATCCTCTAATTAATTGGGTGGTATGAGCCGACATTAGGTAACTGCACACAAGCTAATTCGTATTTCATGCGACATGATGTGATACTAAGGGGGAAAAAAGACGAGTGACTAAGTGAAAGACATAAAATAAATGCCATGCCACAAACACGAGAGCATTTTTAGTTGAGGATAGATTGATTGCGGAGACAAAAAAGAAAAAGAAATTATAATATTTATTAAAAGAATAAGGTAATATTTATAAATTTTTTATTTATAAATTTAACTTTGTATTAAGGTTAATATATAAATCAACTCATGTAATACCTTTAGTACATAGTTCAGTTTGTAAATAAAAAATTTGTAAATATAACATGTTTTTTATTAAAAAATTAATTGTTTAAAATTATATATACACACATGTATTATAAGTTATAAATTATTAAATTTTGTTTAGTTTATAATTTTTAATCAGTAATTATAATTTCGCTATTTCATCCTTAAAATACATTTCATCCTTAAAATACAATCCCACCTTAAAATAAACAAATATGAAGCATCAATTCCAAATTTTCAAAATTCTTCTTTTTGATGCAAATGAGAGTTGAACAAATAACCTAATACAACATACGCAAATTCTTTATCATTAAACCAATTCTAATGGCATACAAAATTCTTAAACTACAATATTGCACTACCTTTGCTTGCTAGCCTTGTCTTAAAGCCTTAACATCCAACCTGGAAGTAGAAAGATAAAAGGCATAAGTTATTCTACCTACTATTTTACCTGGAAGTAGAAAGATAAAAGGAATAAGTTATTCTACCTACTATTTTTTCTGCCTACTTTACCACCCTCTCTCTCTCTATATATATGTATATAATTAAATAAAATATTTAGTATTTGTCTTATAATAAAAGATAATTTATCTAAATAGTTTCAAAATCATATTATTTTAAGATTGGGAATTTTTTTATAAATTAAATTATTTTTAGATTATATTATTGATAATTATAAAAATTTTCATCTAACCTTAAAATAACGTTATTTTACGATAACAGAAAATAATTTTATTTTATGTGATAAGAAATATTAAACCTTTAAATTAATGTTAGTGCAAAAAAATTAATATGTCATTATTTTTTATTGACGACGAATATATTTTAAAATAGGTTGAATAATACATTACTTCAACCTAATGGGGAACAACATTTGAAATAAATTTCTTAAGTAATTTATTGCAATAAATAGTTTTTAAAATATGTTAAATGCTATTTTATTATGAGTTAATATAATTACAGAATAGTGGAAAAAAATTTAAGTCATTATTGTTTCAATAAGGGGCGTTCGGTAGAGGAAATTTTTTTTTTATCCGGGAATCTCGATTTTTAAAAATATGATTTTTACATTCAGTTTACGATAATATCCGAAATTAAAAATTTAGAAAAATTCAGTTTCACGGAAATCCGGAAAAAAACGTAATTGTTGAAGTCGTTTAGACAGTGTGTACATAAAAGTTATTAGGGTTAGTCTAGTGGTGACGGATCAAAAGAGTTATATAACACAGTGTGTTTGATTCCTCAATGTATTCAAAAAAAAGTGTGTAAATAATATCAAAATAAAAATAATATCTTTTAAATCATTATTTTTTTGTTTCAATAAACAAATATAATATTAGTTAGATGACGTGGTGTTATAATTAGGGATGTAAATGGACCGAGCGGCTTGTCAAGAGCCGAAAGCTTGGCTTACTTTCAGCTTGGCTCAACCTGTCTTGTTTAATAAATAAAACGAGTTCAACCTTAAAAAAAAAGCTTGTTAAAAAAAAAAGCTTGTTAAACAAACAAGCTCAAACCTAAATTAATGAATAAATAATATATTATTATAATAAATAATATATTTTTATGTGGGTGGGTCTGCGTGCTTCTCTATAATAAATTCATGAGCTGGATCAATGTTTGAGAAGGAATTGTGGAACTTATTATTCGATCGTGAAGTCTCGGCTTTAATGTATCTTGAATTGTTTCCAAACCAGTCTCTTATGAGATAATTGAATGTATTAAAAATGTTATTTTTTTTGTTCCGACTAGATAGCATGAAAGATGTAATTATAGGTGAACTAAGTGGATTCTATGATTGTTTTTACTTTGACAAATGAATGCAGGATTTGACGCATTTATAGTCTCAACATGGACGGGTGTGAGTTTGGAAAAAAAAAATTATAATTATAACTGAGTCAAACTCAAACTCAAGTAAAGTCTTTATTTTTTCATAAACAAGTTAAATCAAACCTAAAATTCAGCTCGTACTAGGCCAATGGACCAAGGCAAGCTCAAAATATTTTTCATAGCCTTGGCTCGTTTAAGCTAAAGTTTGGCTCGACCCAACTCATTTACACCCCTAGTTATAATATGGTATAGCTACAAATATTGTACATAGATTTTTTATGAAAAAAATAATAATACACTTTTTTTATATTTTAAATTTTGAAAAAATTAATTAATTTTACATGCATTTAAATTTTTAAAAATTAAATAATAATATTTTTATTTTCGAGGACTACCATTTCCAATAAGGACATTAGAGATGTTTATTTTGATATCGGGGCCTTAAAAACTCCTGGCTTTGATGATTTTCCAGCTTTATTTTACCAAAGAAATTAGAGTTTGGTTGGTAATCAAACCTATAATTTGGTGAGAAATCTTTGGAACAACCTCCAAATCAAAGAGATTAATAAGACCCTTCTGGTTCTGATCCTAAAGCTGCTTAAGCGTGAAAGAATTGTGAAATTCCGAAATGACTTCACATGCACTTTAAATTTTTATAAATTAAATTAAATAATGATGTTTTGTTATTGCGAACTTTTTTATTCTTATTGCTTTAATTATTATTCTTAAAAATTAATGCGCGTTAAATTATAAAAAATAATACTATAGATAGAAAAATGATTTTTATATTCAAAATTTATTATTATAACTAATAATTAAAATTTTATATAGTATAAAAATAACTATAAGATATTAGTTTAACACATATATTTAATAAAGGATATTTTAAAAAATGAAAATAATGTTAATAATAAAAAGTGATAATAAATAAAGGAAAAAATAAAAGTCACAATGAACACTCCCTGAAAAACAGATAAAATCCTAATTTTGAACACCAAACATGTTTATTTATTCTTTTAATTTCACCTAAACTAACGTTAAACTGGAGCTTAATAAGTTTGTGTTGGGAATTGAATTCATATTCTCTCCTCGTCTACTAATTTGTAGTGAGAATCAAACACATTTTCTCCTTATCTATTCCGTCTATGTTGTCACTCGTTGGGTTATATGATATTAAATTTTTTTTTGGAAATATTCCAATCGGTTCATTGTTTCGCAATTAATCTGATTCGGGGTGGGTCCATGATTAAGGCTTTAAACCCCTCCCAAAGGTGGTATTGGGGAGATTCGAACACATGCTCTCACCCCCACCCCCACTTGTTTAGCTCTCATGCGCTAACTGAGCTACAACCATTTGGTTATATGATATTATTTTAACATGACATGATGTTCATTTTAATTTATAAAGTTTTTTTTTTCAACATTACTGATCATACCAATACAATACGGGCAGACCAATATGTATCAGGCCTAATCACACACAGTTGATGTATAAAGACTCTGGGTTGGGTTATCTAGTTGTTGATGATATGATGGGTATGATTCTTCTTTGGAGCGATGATCCAAACTGAGGGTACCTACAATGACACTCCGACGCTTAGTCAATATCAAAGTCAGGCTTATGTGGTATTCTTACTGAATTAGATTATCATACCTGGGTTTGTAGCCTTTGCTTATACAGTGAATCAAATACCGCCTATGATAGGTGGTGTATCTTCTGATTGACTGTAAAGGGGCTGCAGGTTCAACTGTTGTTGTTATGGTCTTATCCAATTATATCAGGCTATCTTGATAGAATAATGGCAAGCTGATGTTGTCTCTTGTGTATTGGTTTTATAGCGCGGTGACCTTTTACCTATTTGATCACTTCCTTCACTACGAAGTTACGTTAAAGATGGTTTGGGCGCGATGAAGCCATCGCGCCTCTAATTTCTTGTGCGATCGGGCATTACTTGGGCCCTTAACCTTTTACGGGCCTATTATATCTGAGTTTTAACTTTTAGTGGACCTACTGTATTTTATCCAGATCAATTACATAGGAATCGAATTCCAAATTTAATACACACTAAACACATCCAACACCACTGGCTAGTGGTGCTCAATTTATAAAGTTGAGATTAATAGAAACACGCATCTCAAATACATTAAGTAAAAACAATTAATTATTCTTTCTGTTAAATTTTCCTTTACGATCAGCAAAATCAAAAACAGCAGAGCATTATTTATACATAAACTTAATTTGCACGACTTCGAGCATGAACACTGAACACTATAATCCAAAGATGCCATGCGAAGACAATAGCACTATTTTTTTATTTTATTTTTGGAAACAGATCATAGCACTATTGAACATTGGTCTAGTACGTGATTCTGTTCTCGGAAGAAGGGGCCCAGCGTGACGGATACGTGCCGTTCACTGATAACATGTTCTTGTTCGCGACGCCAACTCACCAATAATTTATGGGTGCATATTTTCTTATGTTGTAGGATAGTAGGAGAGAAAAAAAGTAGAGATAAGTTAAATGTGAGTCCCATATTTTAAATTAAAAAAGAAAAGAAAAATTAATTGGCACGGAAAACGAATTTGTGTAGGAAAAAATTCTTATCTCATGTAGAAGGAGATAATGATATCCCATAATTTATATACCACATTGATACGTAACGGCGTCAACACGGCGCGCCCTATTTGCTTTTTCATCGAGAAACTCTCAAACCTAAACATGTTTGGGCCTCATCATGCCTATTACTTACAAAGCCCATTTGAGCTGTACATCACTTTTTTATTTTTTTTATTTTTTTATTTATATAAACGAAAAACGAAGTTATTTTCATTTTTTTATTTGTTTCAAAGATTTTTTTTATTCATGATAGTTCTGCACCCTAAGATCACCACAGGTGTGTATGGCACATTTTCTTAAAATCTGGGAAAAAGCTTACAAAAATCGCAGTATGTAATGTGTTTATTTATGTTAGGAAAAAAAAGTGAACAGTAAACATTGGAATGCACCTTTCTCTATTCCATTGTCAATAATTGTAAACATGGACTGGCAACTTTCCATGAAAAGAAAAAGAAAGACACAGAAAAATATAGTAAAAAAACTAATCTGATTGAGACAACTATTGTCAAAGTGAATGTAACTAAATGGAAGCTATATTGGTCACTTTACGAATAGATTTCTTCCCAGGAGAATCTAGGCCATTAGGAAGATACTGTAGTGTTTTTGCTTAGGAGGAAGAAAAGAGTTTTTTTTCTCCCACACGTCTTATTTAAAACTAGAAAAAATATGTATAATTAAATTAATGATAATTTCTTTTTTTAAAATTTAAAAAAAATAAAAAAAATAAGAATTGAATTCAAAATGAAAAACTATTATTAAAAAGATAAGGTAGAATACATGCTTATTATTATTATTTTTTACCTACTTTACTTTCTCTTCACAATCTTAACCAATAATGAAAAGAGAGAGAAGAAAATGTTTGTTAAGATTTTAATTTAATGGTTTCGATAGAAAGGAATATGTTATACTTATTACAAATATTATTATCGTTGGATCAAAATTAAATCAACGGTTACAAAATAATATCAAGTGATGAGAACCGTTGATATAATTTTGATCTAAAAATAAAAAAATTGATAATAAGATATAGTAAAAAAAAATAGTAATAAGTATAACCTTCCCTCGAAAAAAATAGATAAAGATATTATTATGTCCCAAGGACAAAAATGTCTAGTAAAAAGACTAGCGGATTACTCTTGGATCTAATAAGTGTCCTCTCAGGTATATATGGACTATATATCTTTGTGAGAACCAGATCACTATGCACAAATAACAACTTTAGCCAAAAGGAGAGTAAATGTACACAATAACAATATAATAATATATAGAAAAAAAATGTCCATATTTACGAGCTTTATTTTTTATTTATAGAAATTACCTATAGATAATAAAATTTTAAACCTTTGAAACCTTCTCAAAAAATCTATGTCCAGATTCATTATTATGGCATTAGAATTAGTATCTGAAATTGATAGTTTCCATATATTATATTGATTTTCTCTTTCCATTGCTCATTATTTAGGCTTTATATAATGTGTAACTCTGGTATAGATTCATAACAGATATTATATTTACTTTATGTATTTTTCTCAACACCTTTATATCACACTCTCAACCAACTCTTGCTATCTTCCTGTCCTTTAAGTATTTGTTGAGATTGTAATCAAAGTGTTAAAAAAAGACTAGATAAAATAATATGAAAAGAAACAGACATAATATCCAATCCCATAAAAATATAACTATTCCAGTAATATACAAGCGATAATAACAGTATACCCCGAGATTCCGTTTCGAATTATTAAACTCAATCAGAATCACCGCAACATGTGTGTCCAATTAAGAACGCTAAGTCACATTTTCAAACCCCGGAAAAGAATTCAAAAATCAATAAAATGCTTTACAAAAAGTTTGTACGTGTCGGACCTAGACACCTAGCTAGTTCAATTTTGTAAGGTAACGAAGGCGTGTTACACATTTACATGATTACAGGTAAAGCCATCTATTCGTCCATACAATGAATATCATTGATGAGGTGATAAGAAAAGAAAGCGCCTCAGGCTCCTGTATTAAGTGGATAATCACCCCCACGATGATAGTTTTTTTCAATATATATTGGTTCTTGTCCACATCGAACAGCCTTTGCACTAAAGCAGCTAATGGAACAACTGCACAAACAGAAGTTATTGGTTAGATAAAATATTGTTAGACCACTGTTGAGATGATGAAAGCACCATTAGAATTCATAGAACTGGATCCATTGCTGTCTACATCAACCAATTTATTGAATATTTTGAAGAATTAATCTTCTCTACCTTTCTTCTTTTTTAAATACGCTAACATTTGGGGCTTCGCCCCTTAATGTTATCAAAAAAAATAAAAATACGCTAACATTTGAGATTTTAACCTAGGACATTATGCAAACTACCCAAATTCCTTACTATTAGACTAATCCAAGTGACTTATCTTCTGTGCCTTTCTAAGACTCTTATTAACACTAATAAAACCCTCATACTCAGCCGCTAGCAATGAATGAACTACTAATACAAGGGATACCTAATACCAAAGTTGGTGATGCTAAGAAAAAAAGGGCATTTTTGATATGTTTTTAAATTACAAGAGACAGGTCAGATAGAAAAAATGTTATAGTAAACTATGAATTATTATTAATACAAGGAATACTCACATAAATATCAAAACTGAGGATCATAAGAAAAAAGGCTTTTTTGTTCATCTGTTGGATTCAATAACCATCTACAGAACATCCATGCTGCACCAACCACTGATAGAAGAGACAACATTGCCAAACATCCAAAATGAGAGGGATCATTTGCAATTATTGCAACACCCAGCATTACAGACTCTGCCAAACTAGCAACAGCAACCTCTGTCGTCCCAATGAGATTCGCTTTAGATGATGGGATCCCGGTTTGGATAATCTGAGCCCCTACAACATCATATGACATGTGTCCTAACCGCGACATAATCTGCGCACACACAAACACAGCAGTTTATGCACAAAAATTCAAAGTGGACAAATTTGACGAACTAATTTCACGTCAAAAATCCAAGTTTGAAAATTTCCAAAATGAATAAACTGTGCAATTTGGGACATCTCACAATCGTTATTTCCTCATACAAGAAGCTTTCTCTATTTTAACAAATATTCAATTACAATGACCCATTGCAACTTTATTCAGCAGAAAAATCCTGTCCTCTTAGTAAAACAACAAAGGTCCAGACAACTTATGTTCAACAAGCTAAGTCTCGTTTTCTAACAAATGCACGTTGCATTTTAAATTAAGAGTTTAAAGGATCTAATCAGTGGTTAAAAAGTATCCTTAGAACTGAATACCTTGAACATTCAATATCACAGTTTAGGTCACTAACTTGGTATAAGCTGAACTTGGATCCCTATCAGATCTACCCCAAATGCCATGATTTAGGCCATTCTAATTTATAAGCTTCAACATCAATGATCAGTGACAAAATAAAAAAACTTTAGTGACTTACAATCAGAAACAAGAAAATAAGAAGAGGGCTCTGATGAGAAATTGATCCACTCCAATATACAGCAACAGCCATGCTGAGAAGTAAAGCTTGAAACACCAAACCAACTGCCCCAGCCTGGAAAAGAGAATTTTTTTCAATAATCTCATAAAATAAGTTGTCATACTTTCCCATCTGCAAAATTTGAAAATAAAAAAATAAAAAAGCTGAACAAAAAACCTTTAAAATGCCAAATTGCTTGACCAGAGTTGACGACACAAATGTTGCTGCAACACCCATTAAAGCACACATTCCGCTGAATCCTCCAATGATAGATGGATGTAAGCCTGCAGACCAGTCAAAAAATTATCCTGGACTTAGGATATGAACCAAAAAATATTCCCCCACCCCCAAAATATAAGCAAAAGGAAAGATAAAAGAAATTACAGAATGACATTGAGTTACTGGTTTAAATATGGTATAGAATGATTTAAGGGGACCAAATTGAAGTGGAGATACAACAATAAACCTTACAGCAAAATCTATTCCCTTTTCCCTTCTGTCTTTTTAACTGTTTGCCACAGCACTCAGTTTAAATCAGAACTTTATACTACGGAAAACATCAATTCAATTTTTTTGGGAAAAATACAATTTATTCTAGACTATGAGTGTTATCATTGAAAAGAGTAACTAAAGAAAAAAAGAGAGGCATAGACTGTTAGTCCAAGCTAATAGTGTATAAAAGATTTGACAATGAAAAATAAAAATTAAAAAAACCCTCTTGGTCAATTACGACAACAACAGCTTTCAAAAAACTTGAAATCAGGTGCTTCACTATATTCTTCCCCGCAACAAATGATCTGTTAGAAGTGAAAGAAGTTTCCCAAATAAACAAGGTACCATGGAGGAAATTTTCACATACCATGCTGTGTTAAAAATGCTGTCATCAAACTGCCTGGTGTAAGAACAACATTGAAGTAGAGAAGCACCCATGCAAGACTAGCAGGAAGAACTGGCTGCCCGAGATACTCCTTCCAGCCAAGCTTGATGGCTTCCAGACCTTTTAGCACTGGTTTGCCAACACATAGAAGTAAGTACATTTAAAATTAAAATATCCAGACAATGAGATGATTTTCTAAAGAAAGATCAGTTTAAATAATACCGATACTATCAGCATCTGGTACAGAATCTTCACTGAATGTTCTACAACAGGTTTGTGAAGGTTTAGGCCGGTCAAGAACACCAGTAGAAAGCTTGTTGGCTAAACAAGTGAAAACAATCTGCAAATTGAGAATGGGGAATGAAAATGAAAACATCTTCCAACTTATGGAAGAAATGGAACAAGAAGAAAGGCAGAGAAATTACTGTAACAGGCAGAAACCCCATCATTAAGCCAGAAGCGAATTTCAAGCAGGTTACAGGATGAAATTTAGAAAGAAGGACTCCAAAGAGCAATGCCCCAACTATCTGCAAATGAGCAACTCGTAAGTTTCCTAACCACAGCTACTATAACTGACACTTAATAAGCCAGTTTATGAATATTTCATTTAACTGGAAAATGGACATTATGCTCTGTAAGCAGAGAAACATATAAGCTACCTAATCAACTGTTAGGGTTAGAGAATATTAGTTAGTTAGAATAGCTATGTGGAGTGGTTCAAGTTAGAGTTGGAGAATCAATTTATATAGCAGGAAAAGGTAGAAGAGACAATTCAGATTGGTTAGTTTTGGGAAAAACAAACCAGTGGCTCAGTTGTAATGGGCATCCGTTCTCTTTAACTGTCTAACATAGCTATTATAACTAACTAACCATTGTAACTACTAACTAACAAACTAGAATTTTCTGACCCTAACATCAACTTAATGTAAATATAAAAAATTAAACAAGCAAATACCTCACACAGGAGATCAATTCGATTCAGAACTGCATTTGCCTGCGCAAGTGCAATCGGCCTATTCACTCCTGCCAGCTGTAGAAAGAAACCACTGAAGATCAGAACAAGATTTATTTTAACACAATTTTTCCAAGTAACAAAGTACATGTCAAGAGATCAGGGGAAGCTCTGAATGACAATACCAACACAACCCAGTCACGCTCATTTGCAACCCCCAAAGCTACACCACATAGCCTCTCAATAGCCCCAGCTGAAACCAATATGACAAACCATGGACGTACAAGCAAAGCAGACACTGAAGTAGGACGCACAGAATGTGCATGAATAATCATTGCTGCAGATAACAACTGGGCAGCTGCCTGAAAATAAAAGAGTGATCTTTTTAGGAAAGATAGCTATATCCTGCTTGACTCTATATTGCTTATCAAACAACTTGCCTGAATGATAGTTAAGCAATTATATGCAGGTACTCTGGGGAAATGGTCCATAACTTTGCCAACCAAGGGACCACCAACAATTATAGCCACTTTGGTGAAGAAACCCATCACAGCAACTGGCAAAAGGCTTGGATGAATCAAGGCAATGGCAGAAGGCCAAGCAAAATTCCAAAGCTGCTCCACTATATTAGCAGCTATGCAACTACCATAGAAAACTGAAAATATATAACCTTCAAGTTAAGAGATGCTCAAATGATTCCACCTCACAGTCATCAATTAATATAGATGGCAAAAGACACGGAATAAGATAAGAATTTCAGCATTAAAAAATAGGCATGAAATCAAAGACCGGCCATGCTAATATCAATTGATTCCACTCAGTGCATTGGAAAGGCTTTTTAATTCTTTCCATTCCAAGAGTAAATTAGGGGATTTTGATTCAACCTAGTGCTTAATCGCGGGAGGGGGGAAGAGACCCATTTTCCAACAAGCAAGAAGGAGTCAGTTTTCCATTGTATAAAGAACATCACATTTACCTACAAAGCAACTAAACACCCCAAAATAAAAGTGTAGTAGTGTTAGTCTGTTATAAGTTTTTATCTTATCCCCCAAAGAAAACTCCAGTTGATTAAAGTCAATACAAAAATCAGTAATAGAACTATGACAACATTGTCAAAAAAGAACAAGCTATGGTTGGAGTTGTTAAGGTTGAGAAATATCCCACCATGTAACCCAGCTGGGTGGGCTGGAGTAGCTGCAAGGGCATGTTGCTCCTCTTCGGACAAAACCTGTGGAGCACACCATAAAAAAAGATAAGAAACAGTGAGGCAATGCTTAACAAACCCTAAAATAAGGAAAATAACCTACAGGTAATGCTGTCAAGAGAGTATCTACAAATGTGGCTTCGGTTAGTAGGTTCAAAGACTCAGTCTCGAGAATATCAGATTTCAGTTTAACAATTGGCACCGGGCACTCAGGTTCAACCACCAAAGACCCTCCATTACCCTGATCCTCATCCTTCGTAACATGATCCAAACGGATACCAGTATCTATTATTGAACATTTGGAACCAAAACAAGCAAGTCTGTAACAAAGAACAGAAAAAGAGATAACAAATAACCATTACCTCAAGAGTCCAAATTTGAATTTTTAGTACTCAGGAACAAGAACAACATCAGAACCTGACCTGTGAGAGGCATAAGGGTAATAATTAAGGTTCAACCATCGGCAAGAAGGGAAGCAATGGCGTATTCGAGAGGAAGGCTTCGGCGACGACGAATGAGCTTGAAGAATGGAGAATTTGCCAAAATGAAGAGAGAGGGTGGCCGTAGCAATAGCCATAGTTGCTTCTGCTTGTAAAACTTCAAGCTCCCAAACTTGAAGAACCAGCTGAGTCTTGCCCAACTCATGCAGATGCAATCACAAAACAACTACACAGAAAAAAAAAACCCTTTTTCCTTTCACCCTTCGTTTTGCTTCAATGCTCATCCCAGATAACAAACGCACACTCTTTTCACTATCCCCAAAATCAAATGAATAAATCCCTTCGCTACTTTTTTGAATGAAATATGAGACTTGAAGAAAAAGAAATTCTGGGTTTTTGCAAAAACCTTATCTTTAACGTGGGAGTGTGCTCCGTGAGGCTAGATTTTCCGTCTTCTGGGCGGAGAGTGCAACTGGTATCGTTTGTATGGCCATTTTATCTCTTTCTTTGGTGAAACTATAGCGCTAGAGGCTGTCCTATAATGCCACGTGGCATTGTTATTTTATCATTTTACATACACTTGTCTGGTTGGCTTTCTTTTTGTTTTTTTCTAGCGAGGAAATGGTTTGATGCCGTGTTTTAAAACCCCACCTCGCTCCCGGGTTGACCGGTCGTCGATGAAAAACAAAAATTCATTCTTACTTCTTTTAAACTTTTCTTTGTCAGGAACCTTCTCAAAAGAGGCAGAACCGAGTTAGCGTAGTGACCCCATTAGAATATGAGTTTTGTACTTTGGTCTCTTGATACATTAATTAGGTTGTGTAATATTGACTTGTGATTGTTTTTATTTAAAAAAAAATTGAAACTTTGATGATCGTTTTATTTTTTAAACAAATATAATATATATATTTATATTTTTTAATATATAAATCTAATTGTTCTCCTCTCTCCCCCGACCTAGATGTGACCCCTATTCACCTCGTTGCCAGGTCGAATCTTCGGGCCGGTAAGAAATTTCACGTTGTTGAGTTGCTGCCAGGAAATTGAGTAGTCAGATGAAAAACAAAAATCATTGTTTAATCTTTTTTAAATTTTATTTTTGGGGAGGAGTTATATTTACAACCCAAATAGTTTACAAACTCCATTACAATATGAGTTTTAACCGTGTTGATTCTCTTGATACATTAATTAGGTTGTGTAATATTGACTTGTGATTGTAATTCGTGAATTATGTTAAGTATATTTTGAATCTTTGATGATTGTGGTTTATTTTTTAATGCTTTCATATAGGATATATATATTTATATTTTTTAATAAATAAAACCGGGTCAACGTAGTGACCCCATGACCCCCGGTTGAGCCCGTGACCCCTGACCTCGGCCAGGTCGATGGCCGGGCCGGGTTTTTAAACACTGATTTCACGTTGTTGAGTTGCTGCCAGGAAATTGAGTAGGTCAGAGTAAGATCATTAGTTCAGAGTAATATCATATGTTTAATCTTTTTTAGTATTATTTTTGGGGAGGAGTTATATTTACAACCCAAATAGTTTACAAACTCTTACAATCATATTTTAACCGTGTTGATTTCTACCAATCAACATTTGTCATTTTTTGTGAATTAATAATTAATTAATAAATTTAATTTGCGAAAATCTTAACCGTTGATTGACGGAAATCAACGGTTAAGATATGATTGTAAGAAGTTGTAAACGAAAATAGGTTGTAATTAACTATAACCTTCCTCTATTTTTGGAAGAAATTTAAAATCTTAATACTAGGACCTGTGCAAAATTGGACTAGTCACAAAATTATGAACCGATTTGAATATCTTCAAATAAAAATAAAACAAAAAATATAATTATACAAAAGTAGGGAATTTTTTAATGTGGTCAAGGATCATTAAAAAATTGACATCTGTATTAATTTTTTTTTCTCTCTTCTCAATCTTTTTTCTATTTCTCTCACCATAGTTCCATCCACTGAATGAATTTTGCTCTCGGAGCACTGAAACTTTGCTCCAAAAGTAGATAAATAATGATAAGAAAAGAGAGAAAAAAATATTAACATAATAGTTATAAAATTATTCTTATTATTAATTTATCTTTATATAATTATAATTTTTTCAGGTTATCATGTCATCTTTTATTTAATTTAATTCATTTCCCTCTGGTCGGTTTGAACTTTAATCTGATTAAGGATTTGACTTCTTGTTCATGAGCCGCAATGAATTGTGCCATGTAGCATTGTAGAATTCCACAAATTAAGCAACATCAGTGTCCAGAGGAGGTCCAGTTACACTCAATTATTTTTCAATAAGCCCAGAGAAATATCTCTGGAGCGTAGAGGCTTAAAGCCCACTAGGACAAAAGGGAAATACTACATCTCTGAAAAAGAAATGAGTTGTGTAATTCTGTTGTTTCTTAATTTCCATTAGTTTTTCAAAAAAAAGAAAAAAAAAAGAAAAGAATTGAGTTTGTTGGGTGGGATAAGAAAACTAACGTTATCATTTATTTCTGCCTAGATTTGCTCCATCCAAATGCAGGTATTGGCGGCACCCTTGATGACGTATTAAAAGATGTCATATTTTTGGGACAACTTTATGTTGATTTTTCTATTTTATTAGAAGATATATTGCATACTTTTATACGTATACATTTATAAAAAAAAAATAACAACCAGCATATCCTCAAGTACCTACTATTGTCTTCACTTCTATAATTTTATGAAGCTAAATTTGTCACACCCACCTTGTCCAAGAACACCTTTTTTCTTCTGAGTGCCCGAAAGAGTCGAACTTCGAAATTTAGCCAATGGTAAAGTTCGATAGTGCTCAATTCTTGTGATATCATAGAAACGAAGGATCCACAAAGTGATACTTTAAAGTTCAAAAAAAAAAAAAATTTGGGTAAGGAAATGAGAGATGATCTCTAAGGTAATTTTGAAAAGTCACAAGAAATAGGAAGAGAAAGAATAAGGAGAGCAAGAGAAACACAAGGAGTGTTATTATTTATATACATATCATATTTATTTGTAGATAAGAAATGCACAGAATTTATTTTTGATTACAACTGGAATCAAACACTACACACCTAACACACACTACACACCATTAGGCTAATCCTACACATCATTGAGTCCATATCACATCGGTAATTTTCCAAGCCATCCATCTTGATCAATGAATGCTGATATCGAAAATTGACTCATCATTTGTGAAGCATTGACTGGGATCGTCTTGTTCATCCACTGGGCGCGATGTGTAGTATTAGCAGATAACCCTTTACAGTCAATCTCAGCATAGGTAAATTTGTCCCTGCATATTTTACCAAAAAAATAAAATAAAAAATTAGCCTGGTTTATATTTGTTTATAAGTTAATTATGAGAAAAGTTATGAAATAACACTAAATGATCATATATAATTAAAAAAAATAACCATTTGATACAAAAAACAAAATATAGATAACACAAAATTTGAAAATTAATGAAACGTTTACATTTAATACTTTTTTAGTTGAAGATATAAACATAAAATTGCTTATAATGCTAAAGGAGTAGAGCATACTCATGTTGTGCATAAGTCCAAGAATACCATCCTAGAGGAGCAACCGCGGAAGTTAAGTTTGTTTCATAAAATATAACTCTGGAATAAGGACCCCAAGCTCTTCCTAAGAACGTTTTTTCCCAACCAAACACAGTACCCCGTCGAAATATAAAACCACTCGTGTCATTCAGTGAATTGCGTCCTTGGGCCGTTATGAAACCCGCGGAAGTCGCCACAATTAGACAATCCTAAATTGAAGTAAATGATGAGTGATTAATCAACGACAAGTGCATAAAAATCTTGTTACAAAAAAAGAATAAAAATATAGTTCCCCTCATGTTTATGTATTATGTACCTCGTAAATGGATTGACCCGCGCCAAATATGAAGTCTACAGCACCAATAATAGTGCAGTTTTTGAAGTAATGACGACCTTCTACGTCCCATAATGTATCTTGATAACCAACGAAACTACAATTGTAAAAGGCCGATTTGTCTCCATATACCCTTGCCGCTAAGGCTGGCATGGCATAGTTTTCAATTTTTTTATAGTGCAAATGCAAAATTGCGGCCATATTGTACGAATTCTGTCAATGAACAACAAACAAAAACATATAATATATAATATAATTATGACTTGTGGATGATATGAATTTTGTTGATATATATATATATACACGAGGAATGTTATATTTACAAACTACACTAAGTATGACCGGTCATACTTCAATCAAACTTCAATCAAGAGTGTATGACCAGTCATATTTAGTGTTATTTGTAAAAAAAGAAAATTGAAAAAGAAGATTAGGAAGAGAATGGAATCTATCTAAAATCCTAAATTGAATTAAAAATTAATGATACTTACAGGATAGGTATTGAGATACTGTAACTGATTTTAATAATTAAGACAAAAATAAACTAATTTAATAATTAAAAATTAGTACAAGGATGAACTTCGATAAGGTGAGATATTTGAAAATAAAGAACCTCAAAAGTAATTTCCTTTGCAACAACATTGCTTGGAGAAGAAGTGAACGTGGCACTGGTATCTGTTTCTAGATGGCCATTGTATGTAATGATGGTGACGTCTCTGCCTTGGCCTTCCAAGATGATGCATGGTTTATTATAGGGAATATTAACCTTCTCCCTGCACACAAAATAAGCTTTGAACTAGTTCAAAATATATCCAAAACAAAAACAAGACGGTAGAGGGAGTGATAGTAATTTGGCTGAGATTATGTAACCTGTACATGCCAGCACTTATATAAATTTTCACCCATCTGTTATTGTTGACTGGTATTGTATCAATGGCAGCTTGAATCGTTGTGAAATTTGCTTTGCCATACTGTGCCACAGTGATATTATCTGAAATTGTCATGCCACCACAATCATCTCCTCTACAAATAGAGAAAGAACAGATAATGAACGTAATAAGAAAGATAGTGTTTCTCTGAAGATGAAACTCCATGATAGTTGAAAGATGATTGAGGCTGAGGTGAGTATTAACACAAGGAATGAGTATTATATAAGACTAGAAAATGAAAAGTTTTTAATGGTTGTTACTAATCTTAAGGGATTTACTCACTTAGAGTGGGATCTTTTTTACTCCTGTTGGTTAGGATTTTTTATTATATAAGATAGGGTTAGTAATTTTTTTTTTTTGGATAATATTTTTTAAAAATATCATTTTAATTTTTTTTTTTTAAATTTGCTTTTTGACAAAGTTATTATCCAAATCCATAAAATTATTCAAAAAGTTTTTTTTTTTTTTTTTTAAATAACTCTTCCGAAAAAAATCTATCCAAACATATACTCAAACGAGGGAGAATGATTGTTCGAGGGAGTGGCTCCATGATAATTAAAAGATAATTGTTATTTACAAAAAAGAAGAAGAAGATAATTGTTGATTTAAATGAAGATTGACTCAAGCAATGGTAGTTTTTTTTTGGATATAATGGTAGGAATTAAACACACCTAATACAAAATATTCAAAATTTTCATCATTAGACCAATCTTAATGGCTTAATAACCACTGTAGTTAACCTTATAAAGAGTTATTAACTTAATGGTTTTTATTATCTTGCATTTGGTATTGGTTTACACAATCTATCAAACATGTTTTTTCAATATTAACATTCACAACATCTTTATCCCAAATTAATTGGGGGTAAAGAATATAAATTTGGTAGGCAAGGAAATTGAATAATTTTACTTTAAACGTCAAATTTATAATAAAATATGATATAATGAGTAAAAATATATAAACTAATTGAAAACATTAACATATTATAGTAGTTATTTAATTATGAGTTTCGAGTTTATTATTTTCTTTATTTATTTTTTTGGATAAATATTGGTGTTTGAATTCCTAACAAATCCGAATAATTAAATTTTGGGTTTGTTCTTCTCCACCATTTCCGCAACTACGACTCTCGAGAATTGAACTAACTAATTTTTAGGAAGGTCAAATCCTAGGATTTCATTAGGTTATCCCAGGATCAATTACTCTTAAATTTTTTTAATTTTTTTATGAGTAATGCAATTAGGGGTGAAAGTGGACTGGGCTGGGTCAAGCTTTGCTCCCAAAAGTCTAAGCCTACGCCAAAAAATTTCAATTTGACCTGGCTCAAGTCTAGTACAAGTCTAACTGTTAGTATAAAAAAACAAATTCTTAACATGACCCATTTATAAAAAAATAAATGGTCTGGCCTAGCTCGTTAGCATGTTAATTCTTAACTCCTAAGCAGAATCATGAATCAACTTTTACAAAATACTCAAATTTTGTTGCTAAACCAAAAATCATAATTTCACCGTCCAAATATAATCATGAATCACAACAAAACTCATACAATCTGTATTTAAGTCACTTCAAAAGCAAAATGCTCAAATTAAATAACATATATTTCATCAGATCCAACAAACTAATCCATACTATGTAAATTAAAATAACTACATGAATCCAACAAACACCTGTAGTAAGTATAATCTCTCCCAAAAATCTTTTAATATATTCATATACACAATCTAACATGTTGAAATATTGATTCCTCCTACATAACAAATAAAGTCAGATCTCTATTAAAATATAATCGAATATAATTAAGTTATAAATAATTGCAATTGATTAAATTTATATCTTTTGTTTTTTCTTCAAGGCATAATTATTCTATTTTATTTTATTTAAAATAAATAGTACAATGTAGGCCAGCTTGTAGGCTTATAGGTCAGGCCTTGTGAAAGTGGACCTACGGCCTTTTTATTAAACAAACTTTTTGAAGACCCAAGCCCGATCTATTTTACGAAATATACTAGATCAAAACTGACCTGACGTAGGCCGAGCCGTAAGCCCCTGGAGCCCGGCCCGTCCTAATTTGACCCCTAAATGCAATCATGTTTTTACACCAACAACTCTTAGGTTCCTTTAATTTTTCTTTAAATCTTTTATGATAAGGAATTTTTTTTATCTAATTAATTTAAAATCCAAATATTCCTTTATAAATTCACGTGATTTCAGAGTTTTTGATTTTTTACTTAATTAGCAAATTTCATCTCCAAAACACAACCTTTTCTTTCTAACTAAGTTGCTTATGAGTATTTATATGGTTTTTTTATTGATGGTTGATAATTCATTATGAAATGTTATATTTATTATAAAATCAGATTTCTTAACTCAAATGGAGTGTATGCGAATTGTGCACGTTTCATTTGTGAAAACAGACAGGGTTAAACTAATATCATGTTACGAGAGTGTGTCTCATGTTATGACATAAATTTAATGTGAGTCTCATTAAAAAAAAAATATAGGATCCACTTTGATTTTGTGTCACTCACAAGTCACATAAGATAAGCTATCTCCTTCAACGTGAGATTAGTTTATCCCAAACAGATAAAATAAACAGTTTATATAATTTTTAACTAGTCGACTAATTATGACAAAAATAAGTGAATGATGACCATATCATATCATTATTATTTCCCTTATCGTATTATTATGTAAAAGGTAAAAAATGAAAACTGCCACGTACTCAGCGCGTGTTGTGTAGCTGTCGCAGAGGCATAAGGTCTCTATGTCCCATTCCACATGCGTACATACAATCCCCCGAACTATACAACACATATCAAACAAGAAAAAGTAAATAGGTTTGGTATTTGATGTTTGAGATTGAGGGTTAGTTTAGTTTAGTTCAGTTACTTGTTTAAACATGCAAGGCAAGGAGCAGAAGATTGATCCATCTCCATCAGAGACCCAAGTCAAGGGCTTTCAAAGCTTTGTCAGAACCAATGTAAGTGCTGGTGGGTCCCATGGAAAACAATGTTATTCGGATGACTCAGAAAGCTTCTACATCAAACTCACTGAGTTGTTAGACTCCTCTGGACTGACTCTAATGTGAGTTTGCTTTGGCACTTCATTTTATCCTTAATGTGCTCCCATCAGCACTTAATTTTTTTTTTTTTGGTTATATTTGTGTTATGGGTGGTGAAATTTCAGCTGAAAGAAAAAAAAGTACTAGGAGGGAGTTTATTGGTATTTTTTTTTAATTTTTTTTGTCTGTTTACTTATTTGTTTGGTTGGTTGGTGAGAAATTGCATGCAAAAAGGGTCGAGTCATTTTTTGTCTTGGTGCTTCCTGTGTAGCTGGTGTTTTAAGTCTATTGTTTTCTTCTGTGTTGTTGAGTTGAACACAATATTGTTATATAATAATAGATGACTGCAGATGGTGATGGGAAATATGAAATGTTATTTTAATTTTATTTGAACTTATTTGGAACAAAAGTGTGATGTATCAAAGGTATGAATAATGCTCTATTCTAATTCCACTTGGCAGTTTCAATGCCCGAGAAACATTGTTGGACTTGTACCTGTTTTACTTGGAGGTGACCAGAAGAGGAGGATATCACCAGGTATATTGGCCCATGATCGACATTGACCTCACATTTAGTTCTATTTATTTGTTAATTGGTCTGAAATGTGTTTATGGCTATAAACTCTGGAGCTTCTATGTGCATATCAAATTTATTCATCCAAATCAGTTGTGGGTCTATAATCTAGTTTTATCAAGGGAGGCTAATATAATTTATACATATCATTACATGAATTTGTCTCATTTCTTCAAATTTAATATCATGTTATGGATTCCGTAAAATATTTACAGGTTGGTCGAGAAAAGAAATGGGGTGAAGTTGTCTCTGCCTTAAAATTGGAAGGCAGTAATGTGAAGTTATCTGCTCAAGTTGAAAAGCTCTATGCACATCTTCTTTACCAATTCGAGCAATTGTACTTCTATAGGAGTCCTGCAAATCAAGCTGGAGGTTAATCTAAGAGACCAGTTTGTGGTTATTTTAGTAGATATTGATTCAGTAACACATATTTGATATATGGGGATGTTTCTTTTCAGTTTATACATATATGATTTACGTTTACTGCTGGGAGATAACAGGATATTTCAAAATCTTCATATATATTATATTATGTCCTGTTAACAGGACATAGACTTGGTTTTTTTCTCTTCCCACACGTTCTCTTTTTTCTAAGGTCCACTTAAGAGGAAGCAGAATTCAACGGCTAGTTTATCTCAATCAAAGGATATTAAAGATGGTGAGATGGTAACGAATTTGTGCAAGGACTGTTCTTGCAAAATGACAGGTTTGTTTGCTTATACTACTTAGCTGAACAATTTCCAAGTCCTTAGACAATACATTTCAGTTTTCTTTGGTATCTAATTGTTCTCTTGGATGAGTTCAAAGGTAGCTCATGTGAATTAAGAGGTGTTTATGCAATGCTTTGGATTGCAACTTTTAAGCAGGGGTTGTAGAACAGCCAGTGCTTCTACCGTCACCCTCAAATGACAAAGAAACGAAGAAACGCAAACGTGCTCCAATGAGACAAAGGAGTGCCTATCAGATTTTCCTCAAGCAGGAATGTGCTCGATTGAAAACTTGTAGTCAGGCCTCAGATGGGTCAAGAATCCTACGCATGGCTATTGATGCATGGAGGAAGATGTCTGAAATTGAGAAACAGGTAAAGATATATCTTTATTTATTTTTGTTTTTTTTTGCTTGGAATTTGTCACTTTTGATTACTTTTCATGCAGCCATATGTGGAGGAAAGCAAGAAGAACAAGGAAAAATTTAAGGAAGCAATGATCACTAACAATAAACAGCAGAGCATGCAAGATACCAGGGAAGAGAAGAGGCCTAGTCCGTGTGGTGACTACCATGTAACTTCACAACCTGAGGCTGATGACTCCTTTGTCAATAAAGCACCCCAGGATCCCTTGTTCCTAATTGACTTCGATGCTTATGGTTCACTGGATTTGCCAACTGAGGAATCGAAGTAACTCTATTACTCTAGTTATAGGTGGTGGGTCTTTTTTGCTTTTTGGGGGCAATCACTATGCATCCATTAGTTTTCTCTTTTTCATGACTCAACCCAAGCTGCTATGTATATATATGGTTTTGAAATAGCAGCAACGGGGTTGGAATAGTTGGATAGCATCATTGCACGCCTCTTTCACTAGTGAAGTATGTATTTATATATTAAAGGCTTGTATGGTAACGCAAACTTTTGTTGTCATGGTTCCTATTGAAAACTACCCTCCTTTTGGGATGCAAAGACAACTAATGGGACTCAACTATGGAGGTTATTCCGGATAGTACGTGGGGATGAAAATTATAAATCTTAATAATCATACTTACGGATTGAAATTAGAGCACTGAAACTTGCTCAAACACTTGCACACTTCTCACATAGATGATAGATAAAACTGGTGTTACTATGATTTTTTAAGCATGATACGTATTACCTTGCATAGTTATTGTAAGTATTTATTTCTTAAAATTATCTGTTGGCATTTTATAGAGAATTGTTTTCATGAAAAATAGTTAAAAAATATATATTTTTTAGAATTTTGTATCAAGCATCGAGAATCATATGTTCCGGTGACAGGTTTTTGTTTTACTTTCTATTTTGATACTTCCTACATAGTTCCAATACTGATTATTAATTTTGTTATATAGTTCTTCATAAAAAATTAAATTTCTGTTCAACAATATCAAATAAATAAAATCTTTAGAAAATCAAAAGGACCTTGGTAATGTTAATAACACAAGGTAAATGTCAAACAAACAAAATAATCTTAAAGTGGACCCAGCGTGTTATAATTTCAATCTCTTACAATATCAACTCAAATGTTATAAATCTTGCTGCCTGGTCTTACACGTAGGCTTTTGCCAGAAACTGGATAACTTTGAGAAGATGAGCACCACAGCCACAAATTTTCCTTCTGGCTTCAAACCAGGAAAGCTCTCAACTGAGAGCACTCCCACATCAAAATTCTCACAGAAAACAGTCCTAGACATCCTCAATCATAAATGCTTCAATTCTCTACAACATCTCAGGCAGGTCCATGCTATCATATTAAGAACTGGTCATTTTCAAGACCATTATGTATCTGGCACCTTAGTAAAGTGCTATGCGAACCCTCATTTCAACAACTTCGGTTTGGCAATCAAAGTCTTTGATAACATCCCAGGGCCCAATGTTTTTGTATGCAATATACTTATGAAAGGGAGCTTAGAGAACGGGGAGCCATATAAGGCTGTGTCATGTTACCATAAGATGGTGCTCTTGAACTCTAGGCCTAACAAGTTCACTTATCCTACTTTGCTTAAGGCATGTGCAATTACAGGTTCAGTTAAAGAAGGGGTTCAGTTTCATGCCCATGTAGTGAAACAAGGGCTTAGTGGTGATGGTCATATTAAGAGTGCTGGAATTCAAATGTATGCATCATTTGGATTTGTTGGTGAGGCAAGAAAATTGCTTCATGAGAGTGGTGACACTGATGTGATTTGTTGGAGTGCCATGATTGATGGATACTTGAAGTGTGGTGAAGTGGAAGCAGCTACTGAGTTGTTTGGATGCATGCCTGATAAGAATGTTGGCACATGGAACACAATGATAAGTGGGTTGGCTAGGTGTGGGATGATTGAGAAAGCAAGTGCTTTGTTCAATGATATGAAAGTGAAAGAAGTCTCCACTTGGAATGCTATGATAGGGGGGTTTTCTATCCATGGCCAAGCAGAGGATGCAATTGAGCTTTTCACCAAGATGCAGGAGGAGAAGCTGAAACCAAATGGTATTACTTTCGTGGGTGTTCTAAATGCATGTGCACATGCTGGAATGGTTGAAAGAGGTCTAGCATTATTGAATTCAATGAAGACAGTGTATGGGATTGAGCCTGAGATGGAGCATTTTGGATGTGTAGTTGACCTCCTAGGAAGAGCTGGACTCATGGAAGAGGCAGAGAAGTTTATAGAGTCTATGCCAGTAAAGCCTAATGCAGCTGTTTGGGGAGCACTTCTGAATGCATGCAGGATACATGGAAATGTTGAGCTAGGAGAAAGAGTAGGGTGGATTTTGCTTGATATGGAGCCTCAAAACAGTGGTCGTTATGTATTGTTGTCTAACATTTATGCAAAGGCAGGAAGATGGGATGATGTTACTAGAGTTAGAAAGTTGATGAAAGAGAGAGGAATCAAGACTGTTCCTGGAACTAGTGTTATGGATATTGGTGGCACAATTCATGAATTTAAAATGGGAGATGGTTCACACCCACAAATGAAAGAAATATATCTGATGTTAGAAAGGACGATGGAGAAGCTAAGGATAGAAGGGTATTCACCAAATACCTCTATTGTATCCTTTGATGTTGAAGAGGAAGAAAAGGAAACTGCGCTTAGACAGCATAGTGAAAAAATTGCACTTGCTTTTGGACTTCTTCATACAGAACCAGGAACAACTCTGCACATAGTGAAGAATCTAAGGGTGTGTGAGGATTGTCATTCTGCCTTTAAGCTCGTTTCTCAAGTTTATAGTCGCAATATTATTATGAGAGACCGTGTGCGCTATCATCATTTCAGAAATGGAATGTGCTCATGCAAGGATTTTTGGTAAGGTGTCAAATAGATGTGTCAATAGAAGCTAAATTGACTTTGTTTCGGATTGTGAAGATAAAATTTTATTATGAGTAGTAGAGCTATAAAAAGGATACACTACTTTTTGAACAATAATGCTAGCCAGGCTTAGCTTGGAAATAAAAAAGATGGATAGCTATAATGCTTTACAACTAATACAGAAGATGCATTATTTTCTTATACTAAATATTGTATATTGATTACTGATAGGTATGACAATTGTAGTTATTACAAGATACAAACAGACAATAATCCTAGGCGCATTCAGAATGAAAACCATTCATTGTCTTGACTCTTTTTCTGCTTCCAAGTTGAACCTTTTGGTATCACCTTGCAGAGCAAATAACGCTGGGTCAATACATACAAAATGAAAACTATTCCCTTCATGATTAAGCTGCATTAACCACAATTTATATAATCTCAATTCTAGAAAATGGTATTTTACTAAGCAGAAAAGGTCATATTTTAATACATATTCAATTTTGAAATCTGAAAACAATCTGGTTTCAGAGGGTGCCCTATTTCTCTTTTGTATGCTATTGGAAGGAGCTGATTTTGATTGATTTCAAATGAAAGAGACTTTATAAAATATATATCCCTCCTTAATCATGAATAATAGCAAGTGAGAAGGAAAGATCTTGAGTGGGTGAAATATAGTAGTTGAAGTGTAGAACATATTCTAATTATGTAGATCAATAATCAAAATGTAGTTGTGTCCTTTCTGAAGGGGTTCTTCCACGTGAATGGAGGTGGCCAACAAAACTATGGTAATAAGGAATATGGCAATGACTCAGACAAGAGAAAATTCAATTTTGATGAGAAGCAACCTAAGTGGTTTTTTTTTTATACTAATTGTAATAAGTCTTGCTTCCTCGGTAGGTTTCAACCAATAATTGACATTTCTATATGTTTCAGTACATGCTGGAAACTGTACTAGATAAAACTCTTTGACACGAGTCCTTCATTATTTTCCAAAAAGTTGTCCAAATTCCCTGTGTATGTAATTTCTAGATGGAGTTTTAAAGGAAAGAAATGAAATAATTTTTTATTGGAGTAAATTATTAGGGTAAAATTAAAATTTATAAATACAAATTTAAAATAAAGATAAAATTATAAAATAATTGTGAGAACTCCAAAAAAATTAACATACATTTAAAAAAAGTTATCTCGCAAGTCGCAAGCTTTCAGTTTTCTTCATTAATTTTTTTTTATAAATTTTTTTATAAAATTAAATTTAGTTAAATTTTTTATTTAAAGAAAAAAAAACTATAGATAAGACATGCCAACTCACTTTATTGGCTTTTTGAAATAAATTGGGCTTTTATCGGTAAGAGAAATAATGGGTCTCATCCCCATTTTTCTCTTTCATTCCTTTATGCTTTCTTTCTCTATCAATTGTGTATATGGCAGAGAGAAATGATTTTCCTTTATCAGTGTCTCAATCTAGCCCCTTTTGAAGTTTTCATATTGAAAGACAAATCCAAACGTATATAAACCTGATTAATATTCCTAAAGCACGCTTAAATTGTTATTAGTTATTGATTTTGTTTAGATTTTGCACAAAACCAGTGATATAATAAAAGTCTTCCCTCTTTATATCCTCTATCCGTTCCTGAATTAAGATATATGGAAAACTATAAAGACTGACATAAATTTGTTACATAATCAAACCTCCCATATTTTATAACAGATTTTGGAGAATATTGTGTGTTTGTTATTCATACAGTTTACATGGACGTTTCTAAATATTCTATCCAAATAGATCCTAGAGATCTTAACTTCTTCTACAGATAACTATAATGTAGCTTCTATCCAAACCAAAATCACAACTTTATCTAAACTACTTTTCAAGAAAATACACTGCCTAGAATTTTGGAGAATAAAACCAGCAATGAGAGAGTTACGCATGAAGCGAGTTCAACAAGAAAGAAAAAATAACTAAATTAAAAGCTTTATTTTGGCAACAGAATTAGAAGAATAGAGAGAGATTCGATGAAGAAAATTAAGGAGACGATATTGAGATAACAGATAGATATTTGAACTATTTTATTCTTTTTTCTTATATATTTAATAAACTGACAATTTATAAAATTATAATTTCAACAAAAATAAACAAATCTTATTTTTAATTAAAAAATAATAACACTCAAGATAATTATTAACAAGAAAATATAATTAATTTTAAACAATTAAGATAAAGATAGACTAGTTTAATAACAAACAACCAATATAAGAATAAGCTTGTGTGCAACACTTTGTTATACATATAAAAACTAAGATTGCCGCTAGGCAAACAATGATATAAATGACTGACCTTCAAAATTGAACATCAATCTCTGGTCTAAGTGATTAAAATATTGCTGCAAACTGGTATATAAACTAGTCATGTTTCTTATTTTATTTATTAGCACAAGTACAATACACTTGGACTAGGGGTCAGATCCAAACAGAACGAGACATAATCAAATGATAAGCAACCTGACACAGCTTTAAGATAAGTAACCATACTAGGAATCTGCTACTTCCTTGTTTGTTGTAATAGGATTATAACCATAAAGTCTTGTGAGTTTCTTTTTTTTTATTTAAATTTTTTTATAATAAATTTTTTTATAAAATTATGTTTGATTAAATGGTTGATTTAAAAAAAAAAACTAAAAATAAGACATCCTAACACATTTTATGAGACTTTTTGAAATAAATGGAGCTTTATTTTAGTCCATTTTGAAGTTTTGATTTTAAAAGACAAATCCAAACGTATATAAACTTGATTAATCTCCTAGCGCTCGCTAACATTGTTAGTAGTGATTGATTTTGTTTTGATTTGCACAGAACCAGTGATATAATAACAAGACTGATATAAATTTGTTAGTTGTTACATAATCAAACCTCTCATATTTTATAGCAGATCTTGGAGAATATTGTGTGTTTGTTATTCATACAGTTTATGTGGATGTACAAAATATTCTATCCAAACAGATTGTAGAGATCTCAACTACTTTCCAAACCTAAATCACAATGCAACTTTATCAAAACTACTTTTCAAGAAAATATACTGCCTAGAAATTTGGAGAATAAAACCAGTAATGAGAGAGTTGCGCATGAAACTAGTTCAACAAGGGAAAAAAATAAAATTCATGTTGACAACAGAATTAAAAGAATAGAGAGATTTGAGAAAAAAAGGGAAGAGAATTAAGAAAAGATACTGAGATACTAGAAAGATACGTGAATTATTTAATTCTTTTTTTTATATATCAATAAACTGACAATTTAAAAAATTATAATTTCAACAAAAATAAATTAATCTTATTTTGAATTAAAAAAATAACACTCAAGATAATTACTAACAATAAAATATAATTAATTTTAAACAAGGGTTTATTGTTTCTCAGCAGCTAAAGTTATCTCCTGTAACTTCAAAACTACGTCATTTTGAAGGTCGGGAGAATTAATGAAGAGTGTTCCAGTAAATTTCTTTCTTTCTTTATTATATGAATTTTACCAAAATATCATTTATTAATTCACCTAACCCTCAAAACGACGTAATTTTAAGGGTCACCGGATATAAATTATCTCATATGACTAGAGAAACAATAAACCCTTTTTTTCCATACAAATGAAGATATTTATCTCCTATTATAGACACAAGATGTGGTGAGCCTCGCAAAAGTTGTTTGATACAATTAGACGGGTCACTATCATAAGCAGTGTTGTTAAATCCGACCTGGGCATCGACCCGGTCGGGGTACTGGGTCACTGGATCACTAGTCAGATCGATGGGTCACTGGTCGGACCAGTTGACCCATATATATATATAGATATATAAAATAATATATAAATATGAACATATAACTTCAATTATATTCTTCATATCTAAAATGAAAAGGTTCACTAAATAAGCTCAAAAACATGAAGCATAAATAAATAAAAATGCATGCTATTACTATGTCAATTTAAATTGCAATTCAGAATCTCCATAAATATACATCCCAATGACCTTGAACTCGTATTTTTCAAATTCAACTACATTTGATATATATCACATTCTCTTAATTTATTATTCCACAAATTGTTTCAGTCTTAAAAATTGAAATTCGAGGTCTTTGTAGAAGAGTATACTAGCAAATAAAATTACAAAAAGTTTTTAAAATGAGTTCTATATTTTTCTGATAAGATGAAATAGTTTTTTTTTTTTTTTAAATATGCACGACTTGACCGGATCACCAGGTGGTTTGGCCGATTTTGTCTGGGTCAATGCATGACTGATTTAATGCTTGATCCGAACCAGTCCGATAACCGTTTCACTGCATTTCGGGTCGATTCAATTGGGTCGGGCCGAATTTTATAACACTGATCATATGAAACAACTCTGCAGTTATTTCCCCCTTAAACAATTAAGATACAGATAGAGTAGTTTAATAACAAACAACTAAAATAAGAATAAGTTTGTTTGCAACACTTTATTATACATATAAAAAGTAAGATTGCCATTGGCCAAACAATGATATACATGGCGGCTGACCTTCAAAATTGAAGGTCAATCTCTGGTCGAAGTGTAATAAGAGTCACTTCAACATTATTCTCTAACAAAGTGATTAAAATATCATTTCATTTTTTATAGCTGCAAACTGGTATATAAACTAGTCATGTTTCTCATTTATTTATTTACTAATTAATTGGCACGAGTACATTCACACTTGGACTAGGGTCCAATCCAAACAGAACTTGACATAATAAAATGACAAGCAAACTGACATTTTGATAAGTAACCATACTAAGAATTTGCTGCTTCCTTCTTTATTGTAATAGAATTATAATCATAAAAGCTTAGTGAGTTCCTTCCTAATTCTCTCCACACGCATAATTCTTCATGTAACATCTTTAACTTAAACTAATGAGGAGTCTCAGTTGAAGGTGCTCTAGGATTACCATAGCTTCCGTAACTTTCATTCTGATCATCATTGTCACCGTTTTCGTCACCTGTTCTGTTCATCTCATCATTGGCTCCGCGAAGTGTACTTCTAGCAGCATTTTCATTTTGATCTTTTGGCATAAAATGGGTAGGCATCACTGCCAACAACACCTTCGTCCCCTGTCTTTCCCTCTTTGAAAATGAATCGTTTGGCGTCACCTTGAATACATAACAACGCAAAC